CAGTTACTTCACCTAAAAATAAAAGATGTGGTCTTGAGTTCTCAAGAGCCCGGGAAATTGCCATGTTCTTGGACTTTTCCGAATGGAAAAGCGGAGGAATCGAGAAAAGTCGCAGAGGAAAAGTGTGGTAGACTCGTCAAAACGAAGCTCCTCGGGAGTTATAAAGTATGTGGTAATCAACTTTCCAGAGGGGGCCTACTGTGGACTATAATTATTATTATTATTGACTATTCAGATTATGTAACGTCTTCAATGTAGCCATCATTGTCTATCGTACAGATTTTTATGACTTACTTTGTCACTCTCACGTAAAGGCAGATGGACTATGTGGATTTTAAGATAATAAAACTATAAAGATATTTTTCTGAACAAGTACCGCTGTCATCGCACTCCGAAGACAAATTGTTTATCCTTCTTTTGCATATGCCTATGTATATAAGCTTATCTCCTCGCTTATCTCTCCCCTGTTCCTGCTTTTTGAGGTGGGAGGCATTTCATATTTTCAACATTAACGACGGTATAGATTATAGATTATTCGTGTTCGCTTTGTCCTAACGATTGTTTGCCATTTTGTACGTTTTTTTGTCAAATTCGAAAGAAATGCTCAAGAAATAAGATTGCGGTGCTTCAAAACACGTCTATGACGTCGTAACAGGTAACGAATCATGGCTCTATGCGTATGAGCCCCAAAATAAACAGCCGTCGACTGTATGGGTCCTTCATGATAATCCAAATCCAAGAAAATATGTTCGCACACGAACACTTCTAAGCAAATGGTCTCGTTTTTTCGGAAAAACCGGACATGTCGTAAGGTCAATTCTGATTGGTACACAACCATTTGTTCGCCAGAAGTCTTCGGAAAAATAAGAGGAAACCAACCGCCGAAGACATCATTTTCCACCAGGACAATGTGAGCTGTCACTCATGGGTTCAAATATGGGACTTAAAGTTGAATTGTTGAGTCGTCCGCCGTATGGGACTGATTTGGCACCCAATGACTTTTTTATTTCCGTACATTAAAAATACCCCCAAGGGTTCCCCATTTTTCCAACTTAAGGCATTATCAAAAAGTAATTAACGAACATAATTAGCCAACCTCAAGCTTATAAATAGGTAGGTAATACATTTCAGCAGAAACATTTGCTTGTTAAAATTAGCGTATTTCTAAGAATGCACATTTTATTCAACCATCAACATAAGATGTAAATAAATAAATTCACGTTTTAAAAACAGTAGCTAGCAGTAATCAATATTTTTAAAGAATAAATATAAGCATACACCTCGTATACAGCAAGGTCTCCAACTGCTATTTACTTTGCAAGTTTCAACGCTAATCAAATTTATTTCAATGTGTTACGTGTTGGTCTGTTGTATCATAATTATTTTTAGGAATGCTTCAACTAGGTACGGACTGGATAATATTCTTTGACAGTAGCAATTTACTGCAATCAAGTTTAGTTGTAAATAAGAAATAATAAAAATAGTAACTTACGGGGTTTATATACAGGGTGAACCGTATTGATTGGTACTGCATGGTAGATACAGGCTAAACAATGATACATAGATACAAAAAAATTATGTTGGTAATATACAACTTTTTTATTCATTTATTATTACTCTATCTCATGCTGAAGTAATGGCAGTCAAACTTCTTACACCCTGTAGAGCAGGAAAACAGTCCCCATTGAAATAATTATTTTATTTTCTAAGTACTAGACATATCTACAGAGTGTTTCTTATATCCATGTAACCTTTATTATTTTACGAGTAGATCAAGATCTTGAACCAGGAGTCTAAAGCTACTGGTTTTCAAGAGACAGGGTGTGAACATTTAAAAGGTGCATGAGCCATGTCAATTTTTTTCACAAGTAACTCTGACAATATTTTACGTAGATTTTATTGAACTTTCAACCAAGTGTTTTAAAATTGGTAACACAAAAGGTGTGATAGGTAAAAAAATTATTTAAAAAAATTTCAGTTTTCCATTTTAAAAAATTGAGGACGTTTTCTTATTTTTAAAGTAGCAGTGAATCTTAGTTATTTTGTAAAATAAGGAAAGTGCTTTGAAAACAACATTTTTAGGGATATTGCATTTAGGTATAGAACAGCAAATATTTAATGTAACAAACTTTTAAAATCAATTAGACAATAGTTTAACAGATTTGTTTCCCTCGTATTAGTTAGTAGCAGATTCCTGTAACTAGTTAAGTTATCAAAGAGTTGTTTTCAAGGCACTATTCGCACATATAAAACAAGTAAGAGTCAGTTGCTTTTTTTCGACATCAAACAAGAGCACTCTTATGAAAAAAATAAAGTGTTCCAAATTTGAAAAAAATCGCTGAAGCATTAAAAAATTTAAAAGCAAGATACGAAATAAAAAATTAACTTTGAGGTTATACATCTCCGTAAATATCGAGTTTTCGAAAAAAAAAACGATATATAAACCTGTCACTATTTTTTCCAGTAGTAGCATCACCCGAATTTTTTCCGCGGATTTTCCGGACACTTTGTGTGTATATATGTGTATACTCGTATAAATAAGTAAATGTTTTCCTTACAATCAATTTAATCGTTGAATATAAACATTTCTCAGTCCGTTCAAACTATTTTTGACTGAATCATTTTCGTCAGTTCTAACACTTTATACACAAAATTCATTCAGATTCGTGGGGTAATGCGTCAGCAGAGGAAAAATAAAATAATACAGAGGCACATGAAATGTATTTTTTACGACATTCATCCACAGGAACAATGTGAAAAACTTTCGTCGGCAATTGATTCATTAAAGATTCGATTTCAACGATGTAGGGCACTAACTCGTGCACTAATAACTGTATTTTAGGTCAAGATTTTTCAAATCAAAGATAAAGAAGAATGTATAACTTTTGTGTCTTAAAAAATCGAAAAATAGTATGTATGTATTTATTTTTTTTATTTCGCACTGAATTTCGTTAAAAAATCAAACAACAATACTTTCAGAAACCAATCTTTAGTTGATTTTAAGTTTAAAGTTTAAATGTTCACATAAATATAAATCCGTGACAGTTCTATTTAATACATAAATTAACAATTTTTTGTGTTTCCTAAAATAATAGTTACTTAATTGAAATTTGGCAAGGACTGTCATAGATCTTCAAATGCCACATTTTGAAAAAATATTACATATTTTAACTATACGAGTAATTTTGTAAGAATTATTCAAGAACAAAAGGATAAGACAGAATTTTTATCAATTTGGTAACTCTAGTTGCTCAGTTGATATTAGATTAATTAATTTTAATTAAATAATTCTTATCATTCAGGGAATACAAAAAAAATCATCTAATTCTGCTCAAATTGTAACACACTGTATCTACAAATCAGAACAATTGCGAAAGATTGAAGAGGTCAAGGTCAAAATTTGTTTCCACACATTTCGACACCAAATTTGCTCTAATCAAATAATTTATAAAAATGTTGCAAGGATGTTCTGGCTTTTAGTGGACCACATTATATTTGAGTTTCGAATTTTTATTTCCGTCCGAATTTGAGTCAGTTATCGACTAAAATCGACAAACACTTGAATCTAAGTAATAATAAAAACGTTTAGAATGAATCTTAAATTTAAACGCTCATTTAAAACACAACTTTATACAGTATGTTAAGTAAAACATGGCAGCAAATTGAAACGGCTTTACTGAAAACACTTTTTTTAGTAATTTCAAAAGAGCTGATCAGATCTAATTCGGTACCAATCTTTAGGTTGCAATAATCTCGTGGAGAAAAAATTTTCTCCTCATTCACAGTAGCAAGAGACAGTTGTTTTTTTTTATAAAAACAAAATGCAACCGCTGAAAATGCAAAACATACGTAATTGTCTATTTCAGTATATGTATGTATAAATAAAAACGGAGATCATGAATTTGAATGTTTTTTCAATCACTAACAACTATTCAAATCAGTTTGAAATGTCGAAAATCGCTATCTAGAGGATTGTCTTGATGTTAAGATTAAAACACGAAACTGATCCACGTATTTTTACATCGGTTATTAACTGATTCTGATTGAAAATGTGTTTTTTTGAAAAATTTCACTACCTATAGTAGGACCGTATTCGACGCAAAGTAGAGCAAAAAATTGTGGGTCATTTATCAAAGGAAAATCGAGTCATCATTTTTAGGACGTGTAAGATGAACCATTTCAAATTTAAAATGAAATTAAATGTAAAATCTGAAATACCGCTACATATACATTGTGTTCTGGTAGTAGATGTAGTCGCCCAAGTGCATCGCGTGTAAGAAATGGTCGGTTATACGTCAAATACCTGGCGAGCTTGGTCGTAAATAAGAGACCACCTCCCAAAAACAAGTAAACAAGAGAGGCGCGTACAGGGGTAAAATGTAGTACATATGTGGAATTTAAAAAACAAATTGGATTTATCTATAATAAATTACATTTAAAATAAATAGTTTATGAGGATAAAGGGATTTTTGTAGGAACAGGAGTGCCAAATGTAACTGATCCCTTCATCCCTTCATAATGCATAAAGAAATTATTCAGTTTCTAAACCCCTTAAAATCGCACTGCACTGGATCCCTTGACAGGCATATGATTCTATTATAGTGGTACATTTTTTTAAATCCTTTTCCTCTAATATCTATTCACCATAGATTTGAATTACCTAAGTAAATAATGGTATAATTCACTTGCTTATGTAACTAGCATGATTAAAATTCTGAAATCGTACATGATCTACTGAGAGCAGAACTAATGTATGTCCAAAATTTAAAAAAATTGCTTTCTGTGACTGAGAAACAAACCCCAAATTTTAAAATTTTGGTCATAGACTAATTCTGTTCTAAAGAGACTGGATGTCCGTAGATGTTCGGGACAAATTTTTACCATTCGTTAAATTAAAAAAATCTATGTACAAGCCAAGCCGGCGGACTTGCATGAGTGTGTGTAGCAGGCTTTAGTAGAAAAGTTTTATGGTTGCAAGGGTTGCACGGTAAGTATCTTACCTTCTTTGACGCTCTGTACGTAGACGGGGTTGTCTCCAGAAACCTTCATCCCGTACCCCTTCTCGTCCCTATTGACGACTACCACCACGTAGTTCGGCTGGCTCTGGTTGTGATCCATCAGCGAGGCCGGCCGCCCCCCGGCGCCAGTTGGCGTGCAAGGCCCCGGAGACGGCCGCCTCATGGATCCGTTCATGCAGTTCGGGGATGCAGAACCGCTGAAACAATTTACAATAAATTACAATATACTCGTAGTATCCATGTAATTATAACAATAATGGTTAAGACAAAGATGAAATAATTTAAAGTGATCATATTGTGGGAGACAACTACTCTGCGAACTAAAGTCCCAAACAACAATCGTCAGTAAAACCACCAGACATATACTGGGTGTTCAATTTATTACTTATGGTGATTCTACAGGAGATCTTAGATCTTTATGAAATATTGCTGATGTAATCAACGTTACTCGGGGCTTTACCTAGTTCGCAAAGTAGGGCAAAACTGATTTTTTCCTAAATTTTGTCCAAATATATCATTCTCTTAGTATTTTGAGGCGCTGAACACGATGCCATTAGCAAAATGTACCCATGACCTCGATATTTCTCAGAGAATCCACTATTTGTGTGAAAAGTGGTCCAAATATGGGTCAAAACAAATTTTTTCCTAAATTTTGTCCGAATATATTCATTTTCGTAGTATTGTAATCAGTTTTCAACCAACTAGTAGATTTTCTGAGAAATATAGAGGTTTTTGGGTAAATTTTACTTACGGCGTCGTATTCAGCGCCTCAAAAAAATGCGAAAATTTGGGCAAAATTTAGGAAAAAATCAGTTTCGACCCATATTCGAGCTTTTTCAACCAAAAATTCACTTTTCTCCGAAATTTATCGGCAAGTCATGAATTTTTACTACAGAATCCTGTTCAGTGCAACGAATTCTTTCGGAAATGATATGTGGGTCTCGTGGGTTTGGAAGTGGCTTTGAAATATTGCAATGTATCTATACGTTTCCAAAAACTCTCTGAACTGTTCATAGTATGTCTGAAGTAATTGAAATAGGTAATGTAAAATATTTAAAAATAATGACTATTTCGTGCTCACAGAAAACATTGCGTAATTTTGAACAAAGAAGCATTTCCGATTGTAACTTTTGCACAAGAAAGCTCATCTTCGATTTAAGATTATTCTACTGCTTCTAGTTTTCAAAGTATAATACCCTCAATTATAATTTTAGTGAATTAGCTGAAGAAAATGTTTAATATTAATACATACTCTTCAACATTACGATGTCAAGTGTATGTAATTATACCAATTATTAGAGAGATTTAAACCTTTTAATTGAGAATCCTGTTAATCAACATTAGCAAACACAAATGAATCATACAAATAACATAGGTATTACCCTGAAGTGGTTCTAAAATTCTATTCTATTGCTTATAACATTATACGTTGCCAACAAAGTTGCTACTAACAAATTGAGAACAAACTACTTAAGGTGATTATTGAAAAAAATCAGGAAATATTAGTAATAAAACTATAATCTATTCCACAAATTAATAACTTTAATATTTTAAAATTATAATTATATCATTATTTATTTTATTAAGCTTTCCTCGAGGCTTTCCTAAACAAGTAACAAATTCTTATTACGGTCCTGATCTCCGCTTCTCTACTCAAGGACACCGAAAGAAGCTGAAAACAGATTAAACGGCCGACAACGGAGCCAGTTTGCTGATTTCCATATGCTATGCTTTAACGTAGCCTAGTTTAACTAAAAAAAAAATATCTCCTCAATTTGCGAAAGTAACTGTTAGAATAGGTACCTTAATAAAAATTCAAGTGTTCAAAATGAGATACTTAAATATTGCCTGTTCCATTTGAAAGATCATAGAAAATGTTATTTACTATTCCTAAAGCTGACATGTCTATATAAAACTCTCTGTAAAAAGTATAGTCTTTCCGATCTCAATTGAAGACCAAAGAGCTAGGCAGTATGTACCAGATTCGGTCGCTGACGCAGCAACTCGGCATTGAAATACGTATTTGAAAAACTTGTTCCCATATTTATTTAGCCATACCCTTATACAGTTCTGGTCGAACTAAATGTGGAGGTGGTAGAAATATTTACGACCAGTTGAAGAATGCGCGCGGTCAAACGCTGCATAAACACAGCCGCACTGGGCGACTGGGCCATAAATTTCAGTTGTTGACAAATTCCCTAGCAGTGCAGTGCAGCAATGCGGAATTATTTATTGTTGACTATTTATATTTAATAACTTTTCTAACCTAAGGTAACAACTTTTCCTCATCCTTTGCTGGCAAGGATATGTTCATACCTTCCCGTTGGTTCTTGGCGAGCAGAAATTTTCTACACATTAAGTAGGTATATACAAATTATTATAATTTTTTACCTTTAGCAGAAAACTTTTTTAAAGACGCATATAAAACTCATTATTAAATTTTATTGCTAGGCGTTTTTATATATGTTCAACTGACTTCGGAAAGACTATAACAAATATTTTAGAAATTTGAAGTGACAACCTAGGTATGTCTCTCACTATTAAATATTTTGTTCCTAACTTTTAGGAGTTGAAAACTACTTATTACATATTATAACAGACTATATTTTACGCAAAATTTTAAGAATGTTCTAAATAATTTGATAATGCCGCAACAATATATCGTTTTTATACCACATGAACAATTTTACGACGAATTCAAATAAGTAGATATGTGGTACTAAGGACTCATATTCCCGAGCATGTTCCATTTAAAAAAGGCTAACTTTTTTATCTCTACGCTTTGATAAATTAACCTGCATATTTCAAAATAATTTAAAAGCATGATCCTTTAAAAATATTTACACATCCTACGGATGATGGAAGCTAAGGTACAGGACCCTGTATATATTTTTTATAATTAACGTAATTTCACTACAAAAAAATGTAATTATCACCTGCAACAACTCTTAATTAAAAAAATATACAAAAAAGTATCAATTTTCAATTTTTTTTTAATTGTATAAACTTAAAATTTAGAAATTTTTTTATAAAAAATTAAGTACTTAACGTGACATTTCACAACCTCAGGACACCAATCCCAAAATATAAATTTCTAATCTAATCAAAGTGATGAAAAGGCTGATAGTAAATTTAATTTGAAGAAAAAACGTTAATATGAATAGATCCAGAAAAAACGTTAACAGATATAGACAAAAAGATGTAGGTATGACGTTAAAATTCACAATTTAAAACGATTTTTGGGCAGTTTTCAACTAAAATCTATGATGTTCGTACTATAATTTCAACATAACGCTACAGCATTGTGGTGTACAAGATCCAGGCATTACTTCACCTGATTTCGGGCTGTTAGTATTAGGAGGTATTCCTAGGCATTGCACAGGTAATGCAATGTACTGCGCAGGCATTACAAAGCACTTCACATGTATTGCAAAGCATTGCACATGTACTGCAAGGCATTGCACATGTACTGTAAAGTCTTGCTCATCTACTGCAAAGCATTGCACATATATTGCAAGGCACTTCACATATATTGCAAAGCATTGCACATGTAGTACAAGGCATTGCACATGGATTGTGTAATATTACACATATCGTCCCTCTTATCACGTAGGGGCGTATAACCCAAGAAATGGATATACACATACGCCTCTACGTGATAATAGGGACGATATACTACAGGGCATTTCACAGGTAATGCAAGGCATCGTGAGCGAATTAATACGGCATTACAATAAGTGGAATGTGCTTATACCAGTAGTAGTACATATTAAAGGCATTATTCAGAAATTTAAGGGCATTAGATACAAAATGAGCTTCGGTGTACCAAATTTGGACCAGTAGTTTACCGAATAACCCATGACGTACTTATTTACTTTTATGAAAATAATCATTTAGTTAAATTAATGGACGCCATACGAAATTGTTCCTTTTTATACAAAAAAAACTCTAGAGAAGTGGGTTAAGAAAAATCGAAGTGTTCGCAAAATTACCTAAGTATCCGAGAAAATTAATACCAACCTATTTGTTTCCAAATTTACGACTACAGCGGTAGATACAAAACAGTTAATTTCAAAGCATTGTTCGAGAAAAAAACAAAAAATAAAGTGATATTTTAATTCGCTTTGGCAGCAATCTTTTAATTAGATATATGTATTTCAATTTATCCAGTCATTTATACATATGCCTTTGTTTACGTAAAAACTTACGTAGCACTTTTGATTATTTAACACTGGTAATAAAAAAAGGTTAGTGTATCTTCATACATAGAATTTAGCTTGTTATTTAATTTTATGAGAGATATTTATGTAATATTGTGTAGAATTTGAGTAATATTTTAGTATTACAACAATCATTTATGTCATAGGTTAAGGTATATAAAATAATACGCACATTCATCTGGAGCTATCTCTGCTCTTTACCTCGTTTCTTTTATTTTTGAGTAATACTTTAGTTGTTATTTATTAAATAAGTGTTTTGTCGTATAAATCGAGGTAAAAGTTTTGGCAAGCGTTTTCCCTCTCGGTTTTATCTGTTATCAGTACATTTAATTTTCTAAATTAAGATTAATAATTAAGTAATCCAATACAAACACTTTAAATGTAATACAGTTATATATTTGCGTGTAAATTTACTGATATCATAGAAGAGTAGCAAAATGTATCGCTTAATTTGGAACACATACCGAGATAAAAAGTAAATACTTATCTCGGTAAATATGTACATCGAGATGTACATATGTACACTTAATTTTTGCTTTTGATATTTAATCTTTATTTCAAATTTGTACGTAGATATTTTAGAGTAAGTACTTCGCTGTATAACATTAATTTTCGTGTAAATTTCAATTTATACGTAAAATAGGTAGATCCCAAATTTGTTATAAATTTACCAACTTGTTCTCACATTCGAGCTATGTGAACCTGTCCCCGACTTTTTTAAATTATTTTTTTTGCAATTCTCAAATTATGGTAGGTACACATCTTAGAGAATCAATAAATTTTGTGTTTTTCAAAAAATATTTTCGATTTCACTCAGGAAAAATAATGTGTTTTTACCTCGGTTTTTACCATCTTTCGACGACTTGCGAGATAGAAATGTTATCGCATCCAATTTGAACCATCCATTTTGAAATAATATAAATAAACTTAAATGAGATGAAAAAAAGAAAAGGAAGAATCCAATTAATTACGTCGGGTAAGTAATACTGCAACACACAACTAAAGAACACAAGACAGACTACTACCATCAGATTTGCTCGATTGTGGAGGTTACGTGGAACGTCGGTCAATTAGAAAAGCGCTTCACACCTGTACCGAGTCCGAAGCATTCTGTTCGTGCACGTGCACAAGATGCACAGGGTCGGCTTATATTTATGGTTAATTTTCTTAATTAATTTTCTCGAAAACAGAAGATTTAGGCTATCAATTGCTTAATAAATGGAGGGCTCAGAAGCCAATCAATGTTAAGTCACTTTTCAAATTGAGTTACGTATTGAACGTTTTTTCTTAAATAATTACACAGCCCCACAAAAAAAATTATCGAATCNCCAACTTGTTCTCACATTCGAGCTATGTGAACCTGTCCCCGACTTTTTTAAATTATTTTTTTTGCAATTCTCAAATTATGGTAGGTACACATCTTAGAGAATCAATAAATTTTGATCGGTACAGCGTTACAAAGTCAGCACATGCAGTTAAATTTTATTTGATTTATTTAACAATACAAATATGACAGATTGTAGCAATAAGGGATTATTAAAAGGAAAAAAATAAGAAAACAAGTAGGTATTATTAATGAAAAAAATTACTTTTAGTTTGAACAAGTCAATTTAAATTGAGAATAAATAGGTAGGTAAGTATGTAGGTCTCGATGTAGGTACATGTTATTTATTTATAACGATTTAATTAATAGATTAATCTATATACAGCTTTTATCATTATTTATTAATTTAATAAATCCTGGAATCTCAACCACTTGACAATATACAGTGTGACCCATTTCAAATAGAAACACCTTTGGAAAAACGGTATTTATTGACCGATTTTAATTCGGTTTTTCTTTTGAAAAGATACGGCTTAAAAATTCTATTACCGCACATACTTAACATTTAATTTTAACAATTTATTTACAATTATCAAAACCTACTTTTTATTTTTTTTCCGCTGTCAAATACGACAAATATTGGTTAGCGTTTTTTCTTTTATTTAAAATATGAGTAGTGTCATCACTGGATTATGTACCCCTTCAATGTGGTTTCTACCAAATTTCTACATAAAAATATTCATTTTTCATTGAAAAGTTAATGTTAAAAGTAGGTTTTGTTATTTTCTTTTTCCCGAGAATAAATAGCTGTAAACGAGGGGTAAATCGCGGGGGAATTCTGGTGTACACGGAAGAGGAATTCATGGAGAAGTCAGAGAAGCTCATGAGGAATTTAGAGGAAGTCGGAGGAATTCAAGGGGAATTTGAAGGAAGTCCCGAAAATTCACGGAGAATTCAGAGGAATACACAGGGAATTCAGAGGAATTCACAGGAAATTCAGAGGAATTCACAGGGAATTCAGAGGAATTCACAGGAAATTCAGAGGAATTCCCAGGGAGTTCAGAGGAATTCACAGGGAATTCAGAGGAAGCCAGAGAAATTCATGGGGGAAGTCTAAGGAAGTCGGAGGAATTCAAGGAGAATTCACATAGAAGTTTGGGGAAATACCTAAAAGGCTGACCTTGAAGCTAATCCGAAATATTTTAACAGTGTGTCTTCCGCGACATAAGGAATAACAGGAATTACAAGTGGGTGCAAAAGAAATAGGCAAAGCTTTTGATGTATACAAGTATTTATTTTCTAGATTATTATTCTTTTCTTTCTTTAATACATGCATATCTACATACTCTATTCTTATAAAACCAAGTGAATAGGAAATGTTAAAAAAATAAACTAATAAATTTAAATATAAAGAAAATGACCAGCAAAAAGTACTGGTGCAAGATATCAAAAAAGTAAAGAGACAAAAAAGTTGTATTTTTTATCGCATAATTATAAAAACATATGACACCTAAGGAAAAGCAGCGACGTCTCATATGTTTACTTATTAATATCAACGGAGTGAGTCCCCGGACGCCGCTGGAATAGATAAAATTAATCAAATTACGTCAGAAGACGTCTACCGTTTTTATAAACAAACATACCAAATTTCAAAAAAATCGGAAATAGGGTTCTCCAGATATTAGTAAAAACCTTGTATTTTCTCTAAATTTCAACACCCTGTATCTCCGAAGCATTTTCGGATATAAATTTATAGGAACTTTCTTTCTTATTTTTTTGGTCAAGGAAACTCCCCCTGAATGTTTTCGTAATATTAATGGGACACCCTGTATAGCAGATTTTGGTAAAACCTCAGGATTTCTGCAGTGGTTTCAGCAGCGACTGACAGCAATTTCTTGCGATTACGGCGATTGCTGCTAGGATTACGGCGAATTCACGATTTTAGTAGATGATTTCATAGACTGTCATGAAATTTCCGTGGATTTGTTCTCGTACATGTACTGCCGGAGTGAAATTTTTAAGCTCTTTTTTTCGAAAAAAGAAACGAATTAAATCGGCCGATAAATAGGTAGGCACCAATTTGACAAAGGTGTTTCCATCTGAAAAGGGCCACACTGTATATCTAATCAAAGTATATAGGTATTATATTTAAAGTAAAATAATTTCCTTAATAATACTTATCAAAACAGATAAAAACTGAGGTAAAACACAAGCATGAGCAAAGAAATTATAATGCCTTTTGTTTTACATTTTGTATTTTTTTAAATCAAGAAATATTTAATCCGAAAAAAGTTTTACAAGAACGAATTTGCGATCATTTTTTGTTAAATTTCTATGGGTAATTAAAATTGAAAAGTCAGTCAGTAATTTAAATACCCATATTTTAGTCAGTTGTAAGTATGCAGCATATTTAAAATTGTTTAGGTAGGTAGGTAATTTATACAATGTATTATAATGACATAAATTACCACTATTTATGTATGCTGCGCCAAGAATAACTAGAGTAATACTGTTAGTGGTACATTTAACAATGGTCCTTGAGAAATTAAAAATTTGTGATGGTAAGGTAGTAACTTAAAAAAAACATTCAGCTAAAGGTCAAGAGGGGCACATTTGTTTATGTAGCTACCTACCTGATGATGATATCACGGGTATAAATTAATTCTAAACAACCTCCAATATACTTATAAAATTTACATGTTGATAAAACTATGTGGAGAACAGACTCGGCAATTTATAACTGTATTGAAGATATACCTAGGTAGGCAAAGACCAGCTACTCTTGTGAACACATACTATATTCTTTTAAATAAAGCAACGCCTACTTTTATAAACAAAGTCAAAGTCACGGAAAGATATTTTACTGGGGCAAGTAGGTAAATATTGGAAGAGGCCATTCAAGAACACTGGAATTTGTAAATTAACCACATCGAAAAAATGTCCCAAATAATTTTTATTTTAAAACAAATGGAAGTTAGTACATAATTCTAAACAATACCGTAACAAGATTCTATTCGCGACATACGGTTGACTATTATGACAAACTGATGTAAAGCGGCAGGTAGATCACGATTAGAATGACGTAAGTGTTAACTAGCCTAGCCGCCCTTCGATTGTTATTCCTGTTTATTCATTTATTTCCAAGAAATACGTAATCTGTCACAGACAAAGACTCACCTTTCCGTTAATGTAGAGTTCGTATTATCCATTACGATCTAAAATAATCCAATATTTACACCACACAATTGTAAATAAATGTCCACGGCAGCACACATTTCTATTGATTGCACTAAATAACATTACTGCGTCGGGGCGAGTGAGAATTTTAAATAATAAACGCACATATCACTAACACTTAGTGTCAATTTAAAAACGTTTTATTAAATAAAACACTGGTTTCGTATCGAATTTGTCGCTTAGAAATTCCGAGACCAACAAGTGTCAGCCATTTTGAGATTCTCAACTCGAAAAACTGAGCATGCGCACTTCAATGATCTTAATAAATAGTTCGTGTCCTTTCGTTCGATTCATTAGGAACTGAAGAGGAAAAATGTTTGCGAATAGATCAGGGGTCAGCGTCAGCAACTCAATTGTCAATTGATCACAAGGGTTGGTCAGGGCAGGGTAGATCTTCTCAGATACCGTTACCCTACCTTCCTGTTTTAATATTGACCCCAGTAATAAGATAAATAAAATTTTTATGCTCACAATTTAAACGAAATCGCCAAAGCTAATTCAGGGGCGGCCTTGAAATCTAGTCTAGGTTTTTGTGGCCTGGATTTACTCGATTTAGCCTACCTTGAATATGTAGAGGTAAATCACAAATTAAAAAAAATATTATATACCTAGGACGCAAAATTACATAAGAGTGAGATAGGTATTTAAAAATTAGCCAACGTAGTAATATGTAATGATTCGGAAAATGTGAAATAAATGAATTAATTCATTTGTCGGCCTCTAGGAGCTAAAAAGAGTTTGTGAATACCTATATACAGGGTCGGAAAGTCGTCATGGTTCATCAGCCGTTACGTGAGAGCGATAAAGAAAGTCATAGAAATCCGTGCGATAGAGAAAGATGGCTATAATGAAGGCGTCTAATAGGCATCGCCCATTTCGCCCTTCCACAAATAAGATCCACTTCTTATTGAAAAGTTTGAAAGTACTCGGAAAGGCGAGTATTTAAAAAACCTGATGATCCGCCCATTATTTTCGGAGTTATAGCCCGTTAAAGTTAACCCTTATTTACAGCAAAACTATAAGGGCTGTTTTTTTAACCAATAGGTTTGTTACTCCGAGTACTTTCCAGATATAAATTTTCAAAATTTGCAATCACGCAAAGATATTCAAGACCGCGTGAAATCAATGAGGTATCAGTGGTGGGGGGAGCAAACACACAGCTACTCCGATCTGAATTCTCGAGTTCAAAACTGCGACGCTCGGAAAAATTTCACTTATCTCAGCTTCTAATGGACCAATTTCGATGATTTTTTTTTAAATCGATGTCTCGCAACTAAAAAATTCAATTATCATATTTTCAACTACATTTTATTATTAATTATTGGACTTTTGACATGCCGATAAACAGTTACTTTAAAAAATGATTAATTTATTATGTTTATTTATTTACTATGTTAATTTTCACGACCAAAATTTTTGCATGTTGCACCATGTTGTTGGTATTAATTAAGTATCCAAAAGATTCTTATACTTTTTTTATAAATAAAAAATAAATTTTAGATAAATATTTTAAAAGTAAACGAAAAAATTAAAATTATAATTATTCACAATTTATGTGAGTAATAATTTTTGAAAGACATTTAGAAATTTATCGTACAACTAAAAATTAATACCAATTTTCAGTTGTTTATTTAAATAATTATTGTTTAAACAATTTTATAATATTTAAACAAACTTACTAGTATTACCAAAAATTTGAAAAAAACATTAAATTATTGCAATTGTTTATAAGCGTGAAAATTGCGAAAATGTTTAAACAATCACCACGGCTCACCTAATCGTCCGATTTGAATTTTTCAAAAAGCATTTTAAAGCTTGAGAGCTCTTCTTTTTGTGGTGAAATTTTCAAGTATTCAAAGGCTTTAGATTTTTAGAAATTTGATTTTGAAAATTTTTTAATTTAAAAAAAATAAAAAAAATTAAACAATTATTATGTAAAAACTATCGAACCGAATTGGATGAAATTTGGTGTGATGATTCTATGCACTAAGAAGTTTAATTGGGAAAAGTATGAAGATCCTAGGTATTATTCAAGTGTCTGAAAAAAATTGACAAATAAACTAGCATTTTTTGCAATTTTTTAAATGATTTTTCCGATTTTTGCAACAACTATAATTATTGTTTCGAATTGCAACTAACTCTAACTTGTTCAAAATTTAATTACAAAACTTTTTTCCTCTTCCATTTTTGTCTAAAATGAATAGTTGCTAAGTTGTCGACGAGAAATACAAGAAAAAAATGATTTTTTTTTTATTTTTTTATACTTCTTTGTAATAACAATTAAGCCCACGTTTTTTTATTTGCATAGAAAAATTATCATTTCTGATGTTATTTAGAAGCCGTTAAAGCAAAAATCTCCGATCATATGCGTTTTACCCAAGTACACCCTTTGTAAGACAGATACCGCCTGGACTAATAGGAAAGATTATAGGTTTTTAAAAGCATTAAGTCGACACACTACTACTTCGTTATTATTGAAAGTACCAAAATTAGTTTAATTACTAAAAATGTTGTTATTTTTCTGCTCATTGATCGGAATATGAGCCAAGGTATCTTCAAATAGCTCCAGAAGAATTAGTGCATGGGATTCACATCTGGTTATCTAAGAGGTTATGACATCTGTCCATCTCTTCCAATCCACCCCTTGGATTTTTTTCATTCAAGAAATTCATTATTTGCGTATTCTATAAATGAAGGTCGGTCGAACAGTATGCACTTAATTTTTATTTAGATGTAACTTGCTGATTTGGACTGGATGATGTGTATTATAACCTCCTAGATCGCCAGATCTCTATCAGCTATGAATATATTTTTTGGAACCATATGAAAGAACAAAATTATAGCAAACCTAGTGTCATTCAAGTACTGGAGACGAAAATGTGCCACAGAGTATCGAGAGTGCAACTTAAAAAAAATCTGGACTACTGATAAAACAAAATTAGTTCCGCTCTTTATTAATTCTACCGAGTATTACGTGCTTGAAGGAAACAGCCATTTTAATCATCCAAATCATACAACCCACCTTTCACTTGCAACAAAATGAAACGCTGGTAAGTTAATTTTAATATATTTTTTAAAACTGTCATATTATTTTATAAATTCTTAGTGGCGCTACTGATTTCGCACGCAAATGACATACTGTACTTATTTTTTATTACATTTACAACAGTTTAGATTATCTATATAGTAACAAATTGCTGCTTTTGTGGTAGGTGCGCGTTCTGTGATCGACTATTGGCGTGGAACGCGCTATCTCCTGGTCCCCGATGGCATAAACATTCCTCAAACTGTGGATAATTGATAAGAATAATACTTCGGAATTAATTACACCTCAATTAGTTAAATTAATATCCAATTATTATAAGCAGATGTCCTGCGCATACAAAATATTGACCAATTATTGTAATTGTTTCGTTGTTTATATACTGAATTGTTTTGTACACCTACGTCTATAAGTATATTATGGTGAATCATGTAGTAATCACAGTTATTTTTATATAAATAACTTTTACCATGACATAATCACCGTTTAAATGCACTGTATTCAAGGAATATTTATTCAAAATGTTCAAGACACTAATAAGACTTATCATTGAATTGATCTTAAAAAATATAGGAGAAACAAAAATGTTTTTTGGATTAGATCTCTGAAATTTTTGAAAGTCTTCGTTAATCCATGATACATTGACACTACTTCTAATTCCTCAGTTTTCTTTTCTCTTTAGATTTCACTGCCATTAATCTGAAGAATGAAATAAGATAATATCAAAGCCTTCCAAAATGCGGCCTTATAATTTTTTAGAGCTTATTTAATCAATTTATAATGCTCAAATTGATAGTCATGTAGGTAAGTATTAAATTGTGTCAAATTTAACAAAATTATATCTTTTCGATTGTATTTTTTTCAATAAGTATTTGTGATACTGATGCATACATATCTAAAGATGTTGGCATTATAGATACAATAAAAACATGAATTTGGTATTAAGGGTGAAAATTAGCCTACATTTTAATAGAAGCAAAATGACTCCTAAATCCCTTAAACCCCTTTCCAGAACGTTGTCCTTTCCTCCTAAATCTTTCAAATTTACATGGTAAATTTGAAAATGTCTTTTAAATAATTATTCCAGAAGTTCAAAATTAATTTATAAATTTAATAAAGATGTTTAAAGCCACAGGAGTTTTTGCAACAACTACACTGTAAACAAAATTCACTCAAATTTCACTCGATTTTACTCAATAATGTATCAGTTTCTGTCCATACCCGATTGAGAAAAATTTTCACTCTATTAGTATGAGTACAACTGAGTGAAACTATTGCATCAGGAATGAGTGAGTTTTACTCAAATACTCAAATCCGAGATACTGCTAACTATCAATTAAGCGACTTTTGACTCTATTCTGAGTATATAAAACCAATATAGAGTTGACTTTTTGTCTAATATGATTTAAATGTAACTATTATAGAGTCGTTTTACTCAAACTTGATTTTTAATTAACTAAATATTGGATTGCAAAAATAAATCATTCATAAATGATTAATTCGAATATTAGTTTTGAAATTAATTCACTTCGTGGGGACTTCTCCTGTCCTCGCTGAGACCCGCCAGCTGAGATCCGCCGCCGCAGGCTAAGGACTGCTCTCCTAGTGATCACGCTTTTCTGGAGTATCTAACGGACCCCTATCAACTGTGGTCGAGATTACAGAAACAATATGTAAGTGGTGTCATCTTTACGGCACCATTCAAATTATTCGAAATTAATATATATTTAAATTCACTCAGTAATGAGGACATTTACTCTGATTTAGGTTCATGTGCACCAAATACGAGTTTACGTGAAGAATTTTTTGAAGGAGTACCTATATTTGAGTGAAAGTACTCAGTTTTTAGTTTAAATATAATCACAAATGAGTAAAATGATAAAAATGCCCAATATTGAGTGAAAATGTACTCAATAATTTCACTCAGTGGATTTACTCCGAACCTATATTGCTTTTACTCACACCGATTTTTTTACAGTGTAAGCAATATTTCCAATGCCTAACTTATATAGACAATTTTGCAGTTAAAAAAAATATTTTTTCCATTTCAGCATGTATTGTTTAGGATAAGAACTGATTAAAAGTCTCAGAACATCGTCGATGTCAGTTAATTTATTTTATATTTCATTCCTTCGTTATTTTATTGGAAAATCAAACCATTCAATTCATTAAGACCATTCCAGATGTTCGGTCACTCGCCAAACATGTGTCAAATAAATAGCAGATTACCAATTACACATGCCAACTGCTTATTTGAAGTATTGAATAGAGAACCACCTACATATATCTTTGGCGAATATTTGGCAAATGAAGTCATGGTTTTACATATATCGATATGCATCATTCACACGATACGGCATTTGTTTACGTTTGACAAATATGTGTACTCTGGGAAATCTACAAACAATTTCGCATTCTTAACTATGAACCAGCTTTAAATTATTTTTATTTTCAGTTGTCCTCATTTAACAATAAATATTAAAAAAAAATGCGATTATGAATCGTAGCAAAATTTATTATTTTTAAGTAATATTTCTGAGAAAATTAAAAAATGTTACTTTTAAACTTCTGATGGTTATATTTTTGAAATCGCATTTGTAAAAAAGAATTACTTTTTTGTTTTTGGTGAAATAAGCAGTTTAGAATTATTATTGATTTATTCAGTTGTGTTAAGTTTGTTATAAATATATAAAGAAAATAATCACTTGGAAATAACTTATTCTTCGCATAAAAGAAATCTTTTTTTAGTTTAAAAATAAATATGAAACATAAAACAATGTTTCGTGTAAATGAGCTAACTAGAAAATAACTATATTTATAGACGTTTCTCCTTTGAAATTAAATATCCTTGTAGATTTATATTTATTTATGCATTTAACAAAAAAAGTCTAATTTATAGTTAAGTAAAATATATTTGAATTGTGTTGTCTGTATTTAAAATTTATGTAATTTCCATTTTCGATTACCGAACCTTATGAATGTTAAGTTATTATATTATTTATTCTGTATAGATAAATAAATGTGTACACATTAATTTTCAGAAACACGTCATTTTGAATTTTAGAAATTAATAATTTTTGATTTGTTATAAATTTAAATATTTGTAATTTAATACATTCATTAGTTCAAGAAAATTATTTCAAATTTAATGCTAGAACTTGATTAATAACTTATTCTCTGTTTGGAAAACATAAACATAATTTGCTATAGTTATGCAAAGAACACGCTTTTATCTTTGTCAAACAGCTGGTTTCAATGATAAGAATTTTTTTCACATTTTGAAATAATTATCCTAAATCTACAAATGTATTTATTGGTATTCCCAATTTTCTAAAACATTTCCATAATAATCTTGTTTATAAATAAAATTAGGTACTTTTGATCCCAGAAGGACTAGAGCTACAACATGATTACTAAGAAAAAAAATAAGGTGTTGCCAAATACAAAAATCAGTCCAATGTTGGTACAAAGAAGGGATCTATTATGCCTAGCTAAATCTTGGAACTATCAGCAACGATTAGTGTACAAATATGAAGAAATAGATAATTAGTAGAAGATGAGGAAATATTTATTAGTGGAAATGTTAGTTAATAAAAGATATAAGTAAAGTAACCGATCGTGGAATACCAATTTGTTTTTATTGAAAAAAAAAAACATAGACAGTGGCATTAATATCTAAATTTTTAAATATAGTTGGGGCAAAAGGCTACAAGACAATAAAATACATATAATATTAATCAAAATGATAAATTAAAAATAGACCAAACGTCGTAAATATGAATTACACAAAAAAAACACACGAGAATCTAAGAGAAGATATTTTGGCTCATACTTTGGCACAGTATTTTACAAATGGTTAGATGTATTTAAATGCTTAGGTATAAAGTGTTATTTGTATTTGTTTCCTGAAAATATAAAATTAGTGCAGCTGTTTCCACAATCGGATGTTGGGCAGCATCTTCTGTCATACGGGCAGTCGAAGCTACTACGGCACCTTAAAGGACTCCTGCAGTATGCTCTAGCTTCAGGACTCGATGGCGTAGGACATCCAGATGGATTTATGTCTACAAAAAATTTAGATTCGTGAAAGGTGTGATTTATTTCTATACGATAAAGAAATCAAAGTTTATTAAACACTAACGAACTAAAGAATAAATAAAAATCTATTATGAAAAAACATTACTGTAATATATTTAAATATTTTTATAGAACACATCAAATCAATGAGCTAGATGCGATTATCTTACTCTTTTTTATATATAGTTAGAAATACGTCTATATCCTGTATATAATCCCTTACCAGGTATGTAATAACTGGTAAAAGATTAAAGGAAGAGATGGAAATGTCTTATAAAATTTAGGAATAAATCATCAGAATATTCCGATTCAGACAAACGCTAACGGTCAGTGCACTGATCTCCTAAATTCTCATCAGGTTTTTTGAGTTGATCCTTTCGAGTTCTTCCAAAGCTTCTTTAATTGGTACTCACTAGTATGTCGTCCAGATAAAGCCTTCATCGTTTTTGACATGGTGTTGATGTGTTATATCTTCCCTTTAATTTCATGTGATACATACTGAATGATCCAATTGCAGTCACTGTCGATTGCGGTGGTGGTTTTTCTTTTGTGAACCTTTGAAACGCAATAAAGTTCGGGTGTCTTTGAGTCCCTTGGAATAAAATCTTTGTGTCGTTCCTTGGGAATATCAGGAATTGCAGAGACTACTTACTACCTTCTGTACTTCCTTGATCGGATTATTTTCGGTCTTATATACCGGGTCTTGTAATAGATCCTCCAGTTGTTCGATATATTCTGTTGTGTCCAAAATAACGGTTGCGTTTCATTTGTCATCAGGATGTATAGTGATATCTTCATTTTCTCACGGCTGCCTAATGATTTGGACTTATTTTCTAGTTAGATTTAGTTTCCGAGGTTTGATAGTTCGTTGTACATGTGGTCCCTTACGGCACCTTCTCACTACGCGAGATTCGGCCAGCAAATCGCCCATAGATCAGCTTGACAGGTGGCAAGACGACACTTTGAGTTCAAGCTAGAGAAAATAGTAGTTGTTGAGTGCAGGCCTGAGATAGAACAATTCATGGTTTTGGTTTAAGACCCCATAAAGAAGTAGGTAATAGAAATTCAGAAAAATCGTGATAATGTCAACTCAGAGACCATTATGTCTACTAATTTGACGACATATATGTAAAAACCAATCATCCCATGAGCTGGAACGCCATACACACGACAATTAAAAATACCGGTCAGGCGACTTAATCCCTAGGCTCAGAATTTTTTCTAAAGAAGAAAGCCGTATGCCTTTCGAATTCTAAGCAGATGAAGAGGGAACCAGCCCGGAAATTGTTTAGTATACTGAAATATGTTGTTATACATATTATATATACAACAATGTACAGTTCAAGATTGCAAATAGCAACATTACGATAAACTTCATTTGTTAGCTCAGCTGATTCTGTGTGTGTGAAAATATACAATGGTCTGTCCGCCGTCTCTGTTCATCTGCAATTTAAAGTAATGCACTCAGCGTGCTGGTGGCAAGTTAAAATACTAAATATTATTTAGAGCCAGCTCCAGAAGTTGCAGTTATTCACCAAACGTTCATTAAACATAAATAGCGTCAAGTTGTACCATATATACCATGAAAAGAAATATCAAATATCCCTAAAAGTTATGCACCTGATGTGTATACCAATAATTGTCCGCATGTCAATTGGCAACTGCTTGCTTGAACTGTGGATAGTTTGTACANAATTAAAAATACCGGTCAGGCGACTTAATCCCTAGACTCAGAGTTTCTTCTAAAGAAGAAAGCGGTATGTCTCTAAGCAGATGAAAAGGGCACCAGCCCGGAAATCGTTTAGTATACTGAAATATGTTGTTATACATATTATTTATACAACAATGTACAGTTCAGGATTGCAAATAGCAACATTATATTACGGTAAACTTCATTTGTTAGCTCAGCTGATTCTGTGAGTGTGAAAATATACAATGGTCTGTCCGCCGTCTCGGATCGTCTGCAATTTAAAGTAATGCACTCAGCGCGCTGATGGCAAATCTAAATACTAAATAGTAGCATTAGAGCCAGCTCCAGAAGATGCAGTTATTCACCAAACGTTCATTAAACATAAATAGCGTCAAGTTGTACCATATATACCATGAAAAGAAATATCAAATATCCCTAAAAGTTATGCACCTGATGTGTATACCAATAATTGTCCGCATGTCAATTGGCAACTGCTTGCTTGAACTGTGGATAGTTTGTACATTTTGGCAGATCCATTTTCTTTGATGACTTTTTGTTAACAGCTGCCTGAGCGAACCATGACATTGCTTAACTTGAATAGTTCAAACGGTATAACGTTTGTATAGCTTTGAGGATTATTTGGCAAGTGAAGTAAGGGTTTCGAATATCTCGTTATGCATCATGCACACGATGTAGCATTTCATTTACGTTTAGCAAATATGTTCCTTCCGGCAAATTTGCAAACATTTTCTCAGTCTCGACCAATCAGTTATCGGTATCGCATTTGTTTATATTTGTCAAATATTTGGCAAGTGATCGCATCATCTGATGGAGTCAGAATAATTAGTATCCATTTNTAAACTTCATTTGTTAGCTCAGCTGATTCTGTGTGTGTGAAAATATACAATGGTCTGTCCGCCGTCTCTGTTCATCTGCAATTTAAAGTAATGCACTCAGCGTGCTGGTGGCAAGTTAAAATACTAAATATTATTTAGAGCCAGCTCCAGAAGTTGCAGTTATTCACCAAACGTTCATTAAACATAAATAGCGTCAAGTTGTACCATATATACCATGTAAAGAAATATCAAATATCCCTAAAAGTTATGCACATGATGTGTATACCAATAATTGTCCGCATGGCAATTGGCAACTGCTTGCTTGAACTGTTGATAGTTTGTACATTCTGGCAGATCGGTTTTCTTTGATGGATTTTTCTTAACAGCTGCCTGAGCGAACAATGAAATTGCTAATTCACTTGAATAGTTCAAACGGTATAACGTTTGTATAGCTTCGACGATTATTTGTCAAGTGAAGAAGAAAGGGTTTAGAATATCTCGTTATGCATCATTCACACGAGGTAGCATTTCATTTAGGTTTGGCAAATATGTTCCTTCCGGCAAATTTGCAAACATTTTCTCAGTCTCGGCAAATCAGTTATCGGTATCGCATTTGTTTATATTTGCCAAATAGGTATTTGGCAAGTGATCGCATCATCTGATGGAGTCAGAATAATTAGTATCCATTTTTCGTGCGTGTCTTTATTTATTTTATAACTTTTATTTAATTTAAAAAAATATGTCCTAAAAAGTAGATTTTCGAAATAAGATAAAAGTTGTTGCTCTTGATAAGATAATGCTTGATTCAAATGTTGGCAGTTACTTCTAGGGTACTTTGTATACCTATAGAATTAATAAAAGGAATTAATAATATAGAAATGGTCAGAAAAATAAATATTGATTTAAAATTAATAGGCTGGCAATTGAATCTTCAAATAAATTGTATTTGATATAGGAGGATACATTTTATATATGTTTGAACTGTTTTTCTATAAAAGATAAAAATTAACAAGAAAGTAGGAGTAGAAACAGTCTGTATTTGGAAATTTCATTCGATAATTAGTGGTCTAATTAATTCTATACGATGTTTAATAATGTAAAGTGGGTTTTCCAAATGTTTTAAATATTTCTCGATAGCAATGCAATGCGCTTTCTTGGCATAGTTCTTGAATAATGATTACATATTTTAAAAAGTAATTATTTTGTTTTACTCCTTGTATAAATGATTAAATTGATTAATGATTAAATGATTAATGTTAACTTACTACTACTGCCCAGAGCTCATAAACTGAGAATCTTGTACGATTTCGATCAAGGGTTATTAGCCAAAAGGTAAATTTTCTATGTGAGAAAGAATTGTATGCAGATAAAGTAAGTTTTGCCCATAATTTAAAACAGAGGATCAGACAGGATTGATTCAAACCAAATGTGGCAGAAAATTCAGAACGCATTGATGTAATTTCATAATGCAAAAATTATTCAAAGAACGAAATTTTTAATTTACACCAAAACAAAAAACACAGTGCCACATTTGATATACCCGATGAACACTGAATATTAATAAAATAATAGATAATATATACTTACAGTCACAGCATCGTTTGTAATATCTACAACAGTAGTTATTCACCACATCCCCACACGCTTTACAAATCATGTCGATTTCATTATTTTGGGAAATTACCAATCCACTTAGGAGTAAAGTATACAAGAAAGAAAACAATGCATGCATCTTTTATTTACTATTTACACACGTATTGTCTCTACATCAATATATCCATGAATGTTGATTAACTATTAAGGTTGTGACATCATTGTGGTCTGTCTTCGGCATATTTAATTTATACCCCCAGTCCATGGTTACCTTCGTTTAATTTCGTATTCTCCATGTGTATCTTTTGTCTACACTTTAATGTTAAGTGATTTAGTGTTATAAAGATTAACATATCATATGACAGTGAATTTGAAGAAATGTTATTGGAAAATTACTACAGGAAAGACAACAACAGCACCTACCAAATTAACTTTCCAGAGAAGAGATTAAAGATAATTTAAAGATTAAAAAAAAATAATTTATTTTAATTTACTTAATACATTTAAAATAGAGTAAAAGATAACATAACTATAATTATCAATAATGGTGAAACCCAAATCGGCCTTTCAAGTGGACTCTATATTTCACCAAGATCTGATGCAATTAATTTTTGTCGAGGGTAAGAAGGAAAGAGGAAAAGAAAATACTTTCGATAATACCATTATTTTCACTAGCAGTGTAAATCACAGAATATTATTAATTTTGTAAAATGTCATATATTGGACGTATTCAAATAAATAATAAAATGAGAATGATCATCAGTTCGATGCCACCTAAATGATATTTTGCGAGACTTATTGCCTCACAAACTTTATGTATCATTAATTTGAGTGAGTGATTTGAGCCACGTTAATTTGACAATAATTTCTCGAATCTGGATTTTCACGATGCAATTTGAACTGTTGTAGAACGTATGTGTCCTCACATGGTCAGAATTACCCCCAAATGATACATGTACCATCCCTAATAAGTTCACTATTCATCACAATAGCCATAACACATAAACTGTACAATAATAACACAAAACATCAGACCAGGTGGTTGCGAAGGCGTGGCAACTCTATCATCATTCCAAAAGTAATAGAACTACTCTAAAAACTTTACTGGAAGACCACACCTACTACCACACTGACATATTTAGCACTCTGAAAAATTTACCTGTACCAAATTCCAATGCAATAAGGCAAAAATTGTATATAAAAAACTCATCTTTGATAATCTGTATTTGAAAAAGTCCACAGGAAAAAATAATTTTATTTTTTTATACACATATAAATTTCCAAACTGATCAAGTAATGGCATACACAAAGCTAAGAAGACCCCACGATATACCTGGAATTCATAAAATATGGCTAAATGGTGACGAAACACCTAAAGAATGGAGGACTTATATCCACTATTCATAAGAAGGGTAAGTAGAACGACCCAAAAAACTTCCATGGTATTGCTGTCATGCCGACAATAGGGAAGATCTACTACAGATTAATTAAAAACCTGGTGGAAAATAACGTTGAAGGCAAACAACCGGACGAACAAGCAGAATTTCGGGCAGCCAGATCCACAGTAGACAACGTTTTTACTGTTAAAATAGCACTAGAAAAGCGGAGCCAAACAGAGAAAAGCATATAGCTCTCATAGACCTGGAAAAAGCGCCTGCCACAATTAGAATCGGCACATCGGTAACTGAGTTTTCTATCACAACAAAGGGCCTAAGACAGGAATGTCTAAACTCTATTTGGACCAAGCTCTAAAAGGGTGGCCGCGTAAGTGGAAAAACATGGGTGACGACATCATTTATAGTTTATTTTACTGATGACCTAGTAATGATTGTCCAGGATGAAAAAAACCTGAGCTATATGGTTAAAAATCTACAAGAAGAGTATGAAAAGGCTGGACTGACAATTAACTTAAATAAATGTGAGTACTTGATTAGGAAGCGACGAATGTAACAACTTATTACCTTTGGATAAAGGAATGATAAAAGGCTTCAAAATGTAAATACTTAGGAGAGCTTTTCAACAAACAAGGGATGAGACAATCATCTAAAAGGAGTATACCGTACTGTAAGAACTCCATCAGAAATTGAGATAGCGGTTTTGAAATCAATTGGGGAAGATCCAGCATTAAGTTCAAGAAAAATTGGGAAAATTTTGAATGTCTCACATATTCTTATTTGGAAAATTTTCCATGACTTTTTTTATGTCCCTACCATATCCAACGGGTTCAAGCTCTACTAGGTCGCGACTTTCCATTACGGATAAACTTTTGCCAATGGTTTATTCATAAAGTAAATGAAAATTCATAATTTGACACTGAAATTTTATTCACCGATGAAGCCAATTTTTCCAGAAACGCCATCCAAAACTTCCACAACAATCATATTTGAGCTGAAGAAAACCCTCATGCAATCTTGGAGTCCTTTTACCAGGAGCAGTTTTCCGTTAACGTGTGGGTTGGAATATGCACTTCAGTGCTCTGGCGCGCGAATATTTAAACCAAAATTATAATAATCGCTGTATAGGTCGCGGCGGATCACAGTCATGACCAACTAGGTACCCGGACCTCAATGCTTTAGATTACTTCCTATGGGGTCATCTCAAAACATTGGTCTACAGCACACCAATTCATACTGAAGAGCAGTTGAGAAATCGCATCATAGTTTGTTGCGAAACTATTAAAATCACTCCCGGCATTTTAGGGTAATACCAAAGTTATCATAAAAAAAATGTATTTTCATAAAACTTTAACACCCTGTAGTTCAAAAGTTAAGACTTTTAGGACATATGTTCATATGAAGTTCTTTTCATAAAATGGACCCAAGAATAACCTCCTTAAATATTATCACGTTATTAAGAAACACCCTGTATATATTTTTCATCCTTTATCACAGCCTAAATATTTTGCAGTCACTTTGGGAACATTGCATAACTTTCTCATATCTTTCCCAGAAAAATGATTTTCGTGTTCCATGTTTTTCAGTTTAAGTTAAAATATTAACAAACCAGGTATTCTTTATTAAAATAAGTAGAAATGCTTCAAAAATATAATTTATTTGAGGAACAATACAATTACGCACAAAACAAAGTGAAATAGAACGCTTGCGGACCACGCCTCCACTCCGCTGTCAATTTTAACAAACGGGTAGAAAAAATCGTAGGGCAACCTTATCTCCAAACTGGGACGGTCAACGAATTTCTTCTGCTTCTGCACCGAGATATCATAAAACACAACTCGACTTTTCAACTCCAATTCCAGATACGTCCTATTCCTCTGCTTGTCGTACGACAAGGTCTTATTCACAAATCCCCCAAAAGAATAAGTGACTCCTAGAATTTTTTCCTGATTCAGCAACTCCTTGAAATCGATTCTGGAATGGTATATATCCACCAGTACCTCCTTCACTAGCCCGAAACAAGTTAAAGATGTATTCTTTGAACTAAACAAACCAGTCGTTTTATTGAGCAATTCCTCGATATCTACATTGTACATTATCTTGATCCAGTCTTCAGGTATATTAGCGTTGGCGTTTCCAAACATACCTACAGTTTTATTTTTACCGGTTATTCTCCACATCTTCAAAACTGTCTTCTGTAATTCTTTGCATATTTCGGTACCATTGGGATACTGCTTTTTATTGAACAGAGCCATACTGAGCTTACATTTAGTCAGCAAATTGTAGCCAAACTCTATCGCTAAGTACTTAGTTTTGTTCAAAATACATTTCCCTTCAACGTTCTCTGGCAATACCAGAAAATGTTCCAGATAATCGTCAAAAATTCTTCCAATCTTTACAGTAGTATTGGTAGAATTCCCTATGCGGACCAAATTCCCACTTAGTATTGGTCTTCCAGTAATATATCCAGGGTTTCCACTTAACATCGCTGAATAGTTTCTGGTCTGATTAACCCACCAGAAGTTAACCTCGAACTCTTGGTAAAATTCAACGTCTCCCTCCCCGAATTCGTATGAGATATCCTCCACCACCCCCAATATTTCAATCCTGGTGTAGCCTTGAGTGCCATTGTGATAAAAATTGTACCGAAGTGCCTTTATTGCATTTTTGCAGTCATTTCTATTGTTCCTTATATCAAAGCTGCATTTAAAATCTAGGCGTGAATCGTTCCTTGAAACGTTGTGGCATTTATCGAAACTATCACTTTCGCATAGTTTCGGGAAAATGACCAGGCAGATATTTTTGGGACATTCCTGAAAACACAATGAAAAAAATATGTGTTATAGCAAAATTACATTGAAATCTTACATGGATGTTCTTGTACTTTGAAATATTCAAAAAATTGGGATTGGCAACCACGGTTATGTTCTGAAAAAAGTTCTTGAAATGAAGAGACCTATTCTCTTCGCTGATGTCGATTTGAGCACAACCACATTTTACGTTCTTAAAATTTAAAACGTCTTCCTTTATTATACATGTATTTGAAAAATATTTATTTGGCACTCCTAAAAATAAATTAGGTTTAGTAGTATTTCTTGACTTATTCAGGGTGTCTAGCAAAGAATTAGTCAATTCAAGAATGGGCTCATTCGGCTAATTTTTTTTATTTATTTTTAGTTTTAGATATTGCAATTTTAAGGTTCTCTGCAAAAAAATTAGAATTTTACATTGTCTACAAGTCATCCAAAAAAAAAATCATTAACTGGCGCGCTAAATATCCGCTGAACCGGATAGTGTGATGTCACCGCATGGGAAACCGGTGCCGCATGCTTGCGTGTGTTGTCAGTCAGTCGGATAGTCGGGTTTTAGTTGCCTATTAAGTTTCGATTGAGTACGTTAAGATACCGAATTTTGTTAGCAATATAGAAGACACAGAACTGAAAAAAATTACAAATATTGTATTGATCCCCAGTGTGAGAGCACTTACTAGTGTGAAGTCGCCTAAAAAAATAATAATGTCCCCGTAATTCTGTCGTGCAGATCTAAAATCAATAGTCTATTAGTCTATACATTCATTTGTTTTTTATATCTTTTATTTGAAAAATGACTTATTTTGAAAGCAACAAAACTACCCTACGTAATTTAGGTATGTAATAAATACGTTTGTATCTTCTAGAAACACTATATTATACTTCTGTTTTCCATTGTTGATTTTTTGGTAAATATTATACAAATACCTATAGGTACTAAGTATTTATATAAAAATACATAATAAATATTATATTATTAATATATGTAGGTAGATTTTATGTAGTTTCCATGGGAATAAAAATAATAATAAGATTTTTGTATTNTGGCATTTATCGAAACTATCACTTTCGCATAGTTTCGGGAAAATGACCAGGCAGATATTTTTGGGACATTCCTGAAAACACAATGAAAAAAATATGTGTTATAGCAAAATTACATTGAAATCTTACATGGATGTTCTTGTACTTTGAAATATTCAAAAAATTGGGATTGGCAACCACGGTTATGTTCTGAAAAAAGTTCTTGAAATGAAGAGAACGATTCTCTTCGCTGATGTCGATTTGAGCACAACCACATTTTACGTTCTTAAAATTTAAAACGTCTTCCTTTATTATACATGTATTTGAAAAATATTTATTTGGCACTCCTAAAAATAAATTAGGTTTAGTAGTATTTCTTGACTTATTCAGGGTGTCTAGCAAAGAATCAGTCAATTCAAGAATGGGCTCATTCAGCAAATTTTTTAAATTTATTTTTAGTTTTAGATATTGCAATTTTAAGGTTCTCTGCAAAAAAATTAGAATTTTATGTCGTCTACAAATCATCCAAAAAAATCATTAAATGGCGCGCTAAGTATCCGCTGAACCGGATAGTGTGACGTCACCGCATGAGAAACCAATGCCGCATGCTTGCGTGTGTTGTCAGTCAGTCGGGTAGTCGGGTTTTAGTTGTCTATTAAGTTTGAATTGAGTACGTTAAGATACCGAATTTTGTTAGCAATATGGAAGACACAGAACTGAAAAAAATTACAAACATTGTATTGTTCCCTAGTGTGAGAGCATACTTACTAGTGTGAAGACGCCTAAAAAAATAATAATGTCCCCGTAATTCTGTCGTGCAGATCTAAAATCAATAGTCTATTAGTCTATACATTGATTTGTTTTTTATATCTTATTTGAAAAATGACTTATTTTGAAAGTAACAAAACTACCCTACGTAATTTAGGTATGTAATAAATACGTTTGTATCCTCTAGAAACACTATATTGCACTTGTGTTTTCCATTGTTAATTTTTTTTGTAAATATACAAATACCTATAGGTACTAAGTATTTATATAAAAATACATAATAAATATTATATTATTAATATATGTAGGTAGATTTTATGTAGTTTCCATGGGAATAAAAATAATAATAAGAATTTTGCATTTGATTAGGTAAATCTTTGACAGAAACGGTTTCGTCCAATTAAACGCAAAATACTTATTCTTCTTTACTATTCTTATTGTACAAAATCAAAACTCACTACAAATGTACTTTAAAGAAGCTTTACACGTTATCGAAACGTAACCTTTGCATTTTAACTCCTTCAATCTCAGCACTAATAGAGTTGTGGTTTTTATTAAAAAAATCCATAACCATTAACAAACCTACTTCTGGCAAATTATAAGAATCCGCTTTTCCGAAATTTGCTTCCATTTTTTAAATTTAATGTGCACAAACCCTAAAACATTGTGTAGAAGCAGAAACTTATCTGGAACTAGCGCCAAGCCGGCTGACCGTCCCATGCGGTGACGTCATTGCATTGTCACGCCTGAGACAAAATATTCGCATTTTAAAAATCATATATAGTTTGAAAACCGCTCAACGGATCGAGTTGAAATTTTCAGGATCGCCGAGTCATGAGCAATACTTTGTGTATACCTACAAAATAAGAACGTTTTTGAAAATTTACTGAATGACCCCATTGTAAAAATAGAACCATTACGGTGCATATATACTTTTCTTTTAAATCGTGTGTCGGAAAGAAAATTGTACTCTTTAGTGAAAAACAATATAAACGGAATGTTTAAACACAAAAAGAAGAGCAACAGCAAGAGCAAGGGCAAGAAAGGGAACAGAAACAGGAACAGAAATAGGAACAAAAAAATAACAGACATATAAAGAACAAGAATAATAACAATAACAGAACAGGAACAAAAATAGGAACAAGAGCACGGGCAAGAGTAAGAATAGGAATAGGAACAAAAACAATAGCAGGAAGCAGGAACAGAAACAAGAATAAGAATAGGAACAGGTGCAAGAACAGGAACAAAGCGCAAGAGCAGGGACATGAACAGAAGCAGGAACAAGTAGACAAGAACAAGAACAATGACAAGAAGATGAACAAGAACAGAAACAAGAACAAGAAAAAGAACAAGAAAAAGAACAAGAAAAATAATGAGAAAAAGAACGAGAAAAAGAACAAGAACGAGAACAAGAACAAGAACAGGAACAAGAACAAGAAAAATAACAAGGAAAAGAAGAAGAACAAGAAGAACAAAAACAAAAATAAGAACAAGACAAAGAAAAGGTAAATATCAACCAAGACCAACATCAAGATATTACGGTACTACATTTGGATGCACACCTCCCGCTCCCCAACTAAATTTGATGAAAATGTTATTTATCATAAAAAAAATCAAAATTTTCAAGGACATATTTTATTACAGTAACTTCACCTAACTTAGTTTGGCTTCATCGAAGGAAGTTATCTTTGACCTTGAAATATAATTCAATTTTTATTAGACACCCTGTACATATTTACGGAGTCTTTCAGGATCAGTTGACCAAACACTAAATTTAAATTCAGGTGGTGAAAATGAAAGGAGCTATTTTATGTTTATTGAAGTGTAGCGTTTTTTAATTTTTTTTACATTTTTTCTTAAAATTACTAACTGGAAATTACACACAGCGATCGAAGTACCCAGAGGCCTTGAATTTCTAAGGATCTCTGTGATAGGGATTCCCTATTGTTTTTTTTCAACACCCTGTATATCGAAAACAAAACGTTTCCAAACATTCATTCTTAAGATTTTTTTCTTATTTTGACCACCCGTATTCACATCTTAAGTTTGGAAAATTAATTTCTGAAACACCCAGTATAAATATAAAATATATCACGACGAAATTTATCTATAAAGCCAAATTTCTAATTTGGCGTTTGAAAACCTACTAAATTTTTTAATTTCATCCCTGTAGACCATCCATATATTATTTCCGTATACGAAATCTTCCGACATGTTGAATTTTACTTCCTTCTTTTCCGAAGTATGCGGCCACGAAAACCTACTAATTTTTTCCTGTTCCGCCACCTTGAAGGATGTCAAAGGCTACAAAAGTAAAAATTAAGATACGAACATTATTCAAAACATCTACATTACTTGTTTCCTTTGCACAGTGTAAGAAGGCGGCAAATTGCTTTTCAAGACGCAGAACAGTCCGTTCTGATTGACGTGCCATTGAAACGGTGTATTATTTATGTAAATGTACTTCATGTAGTCGCAGTATCTCGTGTCGTAGTAAAAATTTTCCGACTCGCAGTAGCGAAAGATTGATTTGTCTTCAGGAGAGCAGTCCTCGTCGCAGCAACAGTTTATGTCACAAATGTTAAGCTATAATTTAAAAAAAAATCCTTGAGAAGCATCAATGAATTGGCAAAACTATACAATTCTTTTTAAGAACATTATTTGAAATAGATACGCTATACAGTAAGAAGTTTGACTGCCATTACTTCAGCATGAGTTAGAGTAATCATAAATGAACAAAAAAAAGTTGTATATTACAGGGTCGTAAGACTAACAGTTTTCAAAATACAGCGAATATTAACATTGGAGAGTTTTATCACAACGTGACAACAGTGCTTAACCTAATGCTACACATATGATGCACACCACGTGTGCACGCGACAGACTTGTCCTACGGAATAATAAAAATGTGACCAACTGTTATTGTGAAACATTTAGTAAATTTCAAGACAATTGTTTTCCAGTTTTCAAATAAATAAAATAAAATGTATCGATTTTGTAGTACGATGTTGTACTTAAATTTTAGCTCGAATTTTAGTAATTATGAATCCCTTAAAACAGGAACTTAACTTTTAATCAAATTATGAATTTGAAAAATATGTAATTAAATTACCCAAAGATTCAAGTCGTCCAAATAATCATAAGTATCAAAAATAATGTAGGTACTTTCCAAAAAGCAAAATTCAGTTATTTTTAAACGCACAAGTACAAAACAAACTACAAAATATGCTCAAAATGTCCACCACCATTTAAACATTTTGAAAAAGCAAGGAGAAACACCTCAAGAAAAGGAAATAGTGGTACGCAAAAAACACTCCAACACAGTCGAATTCCAGATACCAACTGAATTGTGTGTTGCTGGTTGCTGGACACCTTAGTACCTACTTCATGTTAACCGCCGCGCCGTTGTCACATTGCTCGATATGAATTTTATGGAACTTTAAATTTATTATAACGCTAATTATTTTTTAGAACTAAGCATAAAGAAGGTAAAAAATGTGATAAACATTGTATTTTAAGGTGTTCTATACAGGCAGTTATGTCAATATTCCTTAATTAATCGAACTTTTGTACATCAAGTTGGAGATTTTGATAATTTTTTTCTCGGAAATGGTTGAGTTTAGAAGTTATTTAGAAGAATTTGAGTTTAGTTTGGAACAGGCACAAATTGTGTCAAATATTCGTACAATATCCTTTAAAAATTTGAGAAAATCTACAATTTATTAGTAATAACTTCGTAATTATAAAAATAATTATAATCTTCCAGTTTTCACACAATTTGTCTGTTCGCATTTGAAAAAAGTTGTGTGAATTTTCAAGACATGTTTTTCCGAGTGATAGAAAAAAAAAACATTACCTGTAAATTACAAGTACACAACTCTTGACCAGAAGTTACACCAGTTCGGTGGGGTTTTTTTCCAGCCATATTGATATTTGTGGCATTTGTTTTTGCTGACGTGTCATTGGTGCTGGGGCTGGGCATTACAGTAGAAACAGAACACGAAGAATTAGCTTCGCAAGTTGCCATTAACGCCGTTTCCGTTGTAGCATTTACATCTTCAGCCTCTGTTTCGAGAGACGAAATTGTGACGAACGTGGTAGCAGAAGTGGTTGCAAGACTAACGTTATTTTTTCCAAGTTTGGCTTTTTGCGTTGTCGTTTGTGCAGCAGCACAACACGCGACTAACATGAAGTAGATAAAATTCATTCTTAGTTGTATTCTATCCCGTAATTGGTAAAATTTCTCAATATTATCGTCAAATCGAATGAAACTACTCCCATAGCCTCGGTTGATAATTTGTACCTTTCTCCTGAAGAGAAAATCAGATCGGGATATTTCAGTTGAAGGCCTCCTCCTAAAAAATATTGCACGAAGCGTTCCTTCAGTGATCCGAATGGTCTCCAGGTGTAACAATCTAACGTGTGGTTACCCGGACTAGTTGGAACGGTTACCAGCCCATAACCAAATAGATGAGATCTACCTAGCCAGTCCAAATGATATACTTCGATATATATTTTAGGCCAACCTACGAAAGCAGAGATTTTTTATGATTTTTTTTACTTGCTCTTTCCGTTTTCAGTCATGGGTCACATTAGAATTATATTTTGTTTATTTAATTGAAGATACACTAAATACACTGCACGGTACGACATACCTTGAAGTCCAGCTGTTGCCAAGTGGACATCTATAGGAAAGGACCATATGCAACTGCTACTAAACTGGGAGAAACTTACATGTGTTTGGCCTTCCTTTTTGCCCGATATTATTCTCCAATTATTACCTTCAAAATAGTACTAACATCAGAATTGTATTTCATTATTGAATCAGTGGGTAGACCATGATATATAATAATAAGTCTAAAATAAACTGCACAGAGTACGTAGAAAAAAATTGTGTAACATACAAAATATTTTGAATGAAGAAACACACACAATACTAGGTACAAGATCTTAATCCAAAGTTGCTTCATTCGCAAGTTTTTGAAAAAAATACATTCAATTTCGCAATAATTTTAACATTTAATGCCCCATTCTTCACAACAATAAGGAATAAACGTTTATATCAATCAAAAGTTTTAAATATTGCCTACATAAAAATGGTATTAATGGTAATAGAGGACTTACCGAATATTTACCGAAGAAATATATTTTTACGGTTACTAGGTATAGGAAGAAGGAATCATATGGGGTGGTGACCGTGGTGTGTAGATAATTGTCTTTATTTATAATAATGGATTTACTTATTCATTTCCTTTTTTTCTCATTACAGCGGGCTTTGTAACAGAGCCATGGTCAGCTTCATATATTAAAAAAAATTAAAGTAGGTACCTATGCGTTATATTGGTAACTTAAATAATGACGAGGTCCAAAATCCTTAATTGCATCGGCAATAAGCAAAAATCAATGAGTATGTTTGTAAAAACAAACAAAGATTCAGCTTTAATCTACAAAATTAACAACAATTATTTTACTTCATACAAATACACGAAATGTAATTTTATGAGAATGGGGCAAAATTATATATTAATATATTTTAATATATGTTATAGCTACCTATAAAAATTGATACGAAATATTTTATATTATTTATCTTATTTGCTAAAAACAATTAGGACAGTAAAATTGGTTAAAAAAGATTATTTAAACTTTAAACGAATCCAGAGGAAACATCAGGCTCTGTCGGGCTATATTTGGGTTTCCAAGATTCAGGCAGCGCTCCGCATGATACTATAATCTCGCTTTGTATGTTTACTACTTGTTTTGTTTTGTGGACAATAGACAAGGATCCAGGGATTTTATTAAAAACTTTAATTCAAAACTACAGTGTGCCCCTCGTTTTACTTTAGTCCACCAAAAAATGTATTAATTTAATGTCCTAAAAGAGTCACTTCATGTCCGTGCATGTATTCTTATATAAAGAGTAAAGTAAAAAAGTAAAATAGTACCTAACTTTACTACTGATTTTTGTATTGTTTCCCCAGATTTCAGAACGTAAGTATATTTTAAAAAATATCTATGCTCCATTAAATGCTTATTGAATTATAATTTAAGTTAAAGCTTTTTCTTTATTTTTAATAGGTACCTACATTTTTACATTTAAGTTTTAATTAAAATGTCTACCTAAAACTTTTCATGTTTTGACTGGAAAAATAAAATGGCCTAATTTAAATACATACCGATAACGAAAATAAAATACCTAAATGTAACTACTTCTAACATTAAATTTTATTACTTAAACAATAGCTAATTTTTAACTTACCAATATGTAAATACCATTTGCAAAATAGGTGTTGTTTAGGAAAATCTTTTGCTTGATTGATTTGTCCAATAATATGAACTTCTGCCATAGGAAATGTCTTTTTTACAACTAAATTAGTTGCGTGGTAACCACCATGCTACGAAATTTTAATATAAATATTATTTGTTTACTATCCCTTTAACAGTTGCCTAGCAACCACCTACTGAAAAAGTGGGGGGTTAAAATATGTTTTTACTTTAGTAAATTTATTAAATAAATAAAAACCCATTTTTAAAGCCATATTTAAGAACTTAATTTTTTCCGTTATTATAAAATCCATATTTATATAGTATTTATTATAAAATAATAAATTTTAAATTCCTTTTAAAAATCCAGTTACACCGCGCAGGTCACATTGTGCCACTAGGCGCATGATCAGTAGATCGTAATGGTTTCTGAATCCTAAATCTAAAATGTATAAGATGGCCGTGAAATATATTCAGTGACAGTGTACGAGATTTTCGAAGTTCATTTAACTTTATAAATAGTAAACAATTTGTTCAAATATGTAAGTATTCGCTTCAAAGCTCAAGCTTTAAATGATACTTTACCTACATGTATTTTTTTATGTTCTTGTCAGTCTTGTGGGATAAAAGTCGTTAAATATATTTAAAAAAATCCAATTGTTTTGGTTAAATATATTGTCTGTTGTTTTCATGTAATATAGGTTTATCAGTCAGTTGTTTTCTTAATTATTATTATTTCAATTTTGCAGTAAAATATTATGCCGAGACGATGTAACGATGAAGCATCTGATCAGGAACCACCAAGAAAAAAAGGTTCAAGTGGCATTACTAATGGCATAGATTTAAAGCAGGGCGAAGTAATAACTGATATAAGTGGTAAAAAATGGAAATTAGGAAAACCCATTGGAATTGGCGGTTTTGGAGAAATATATCAGGCCTTTGATAATGTTCTGAGAGACATTAAGACTGACAACACGTCTCATGTTGCCAAGATTGAGCGACATACAAATGGCCCTTTATTTGTAGAAATAAATTGCTATCTTAGGATTGCGAAACAGCAAATGAGTAGGTCTTGTTATTTTAGGTGTTGTTACTTTAAGTCATTTATTTAATTAATTTGTTTTAGTTGATGAATGGAAAAAGGAAAAAAACTTATCCTTTCTCGGAATGCCTCATTATATAGCCTCAGGTTCGCATGTTTATAGCGGTGAAAAATATCGCTTCCTTATATTACCCCGTTACAAAAAAGACTTGCAAGAAGTTTTTCAAGAAAAGAAAGTATTTAACCTAAAAACTGTATTGACAATATCGATTCAAATTTTGGATGTATTAGAATATATTCACAATAAAGGTTATGTACACTCGGATATTAAGGCTTCAAATATCATGTTAGGTAAGGAATTGAAGAAAAATCTACTTTTACCGAACAGAAAGCCAACTAGAACAATCGGTACACGGAATAACCAAAAGAGGGTTAGAACGCCCTGCACTAAGAATTTACGTCCAGTAGGAAGTATTAATTATATAGATGATATACCGTACCTTGACGAAGTTCTGAATATGTACAATAAATGGTATAATACAGACGTGCCTCTACAGAAACCCAAAAAAGAAAACGATTACAAATCTGACCAAGTGTATTTACTAGACTATGGACTTGCATCGAAATATTTACTAGTTAATGGTGAACACAGAGCATTTTGTAGGGATGAGCGACGAGCTCATGCTGGCACAGTATTGTTTTGTTCTAGAGATGCTCACAAAGGCGTTCCTTCGAGACGATCGGATTTAGAATCGTTAGCTTATAACATGATTTATTGGTTAACGGGCAGTCTTCCGTGGCTGGACGATATAGAGCAGCCACCCGCAGTTGAAAAGAAGAAAATGAAGTGTTTCAAGAGCCTGAAAGGTTTCTTGGAAGTCTGTTTCAATAACGACTATCCCGACTTTTTACTGGAGTACTTTAATTATTTAAGCAGGTTAAAGTTCGAGGTATGTATTTTTCCACAGTTTAAGAAATTAAATTTTCGTTGCGAGTATGAAACTTGTGTGTCGCACTATTTTACTTTTTATTTGCAAATTTTTTATTGAAAACCATGCTGGGAATAATTATTTTACATTGTATTACTCCCAGTCGTAGTTTTATGATAGATTTGTTTCCATAAAAAATAATATGGTCATCCATAAGGCTTATTCTGTTATAAAAATGTATTTATTATAAAAAATTATTTTACAGACCCATTATCTAAATTTTTAAGGTAAGAAAAAAATAACTTGATTAGGAATAAGTTTTCATTAACTGATTTTCGTTATGAGGCACAACCTGTTGCGCATTATTTTCACTATTTTATTAATTAATTACGAGTAATATATCCATTTTATTCATTTGGTTCATTTACAAATATGTACTTTATTTCCAAAAACCGATAATAAGGAAGTTATGCCTTTAGGTAAAATAAGGTGTTTTTGCAATATTTTTTATCTTATTCATATTTTAAATTTAGAGTGTCTGGACACTGATTTGCAGAGTATTACGAGCATTTCCACAAAGAGTACTCAATTTTCTAAAAATCGAAATGACAGTATATTTATGAATTTCATCGTCATAGAAAACCTTCTATCCATAAACACCTTCAGAGGAAAGAAAAAATTGAAATCTGAAGGTGCCAGGTCAGGGCTGTGAGCCGGGTGGTTGAAGATGTTCCAACTGAAAGACTCCAAGTGTTGCTTCATGCAACAAGCACACTACCTTTGTTAACATTCCCCTTCATTTGTTATATCCTCCTCCGTAGTGTTTTCAGGTTTTCACAGTACCGTGTAACATTAATTGTTTCCTCCTTGGGCAAAAAGTCAATGAGAATCCCTTTACGGTCCCAAAATACAAATGCTATGATTTCGATCGAGCGGAAACAATGGTTTCGAATTTTTTCGCTGCTAGTGAAGATTTTCGTCTCAGGGGTGTAGTGGACGCACGTTTCGTTGCCGGTCACAATACAGTCAAGGAATTGTTTACCTTCTAATTTGAAACTCGCGAAAAATTTCCATGAAGATGCAATTCTGTTGGTTCTGTGTTGATCCTTGAGCCATTTTGGTACCCACCTCGCACACAATTTTCTATAACCAAATGTTTCAGTAATGATTTCATGCAGAAATAATTTAAAGATTTGTGGAAACACTGTGTTCATCTCGTCCAAAATCAATGGACGGTCGTCACGAAGCATTGCTTCCATCTTGTTCACCATCTCATCAGTCACGCCTATTTTTTTGTTCGTCATGTCAGCTTTATACTCATGACACCACTTGTACACATTAATACGATTCATCACGCTAACCGCATAAACAATTTTGACGTTAAAAATCTGGAACGGTGCCTTTCCCTTTGCAAGAAGAAACCAGATTACATTCTTCATCTCGTAGCTGGCGAGATTTGGAATAGCGGCACTCATTTCAACACGCCACTACAACAACACTTCTCAACTTTGGCGTTGAATGCGTTTCCAATTTTGTCAAAAATAAAGACCACAGAGCATCAGAGTCTCAGTACCCTTACTTTGTGGATATGCCTCTTATTCAAATTCTGCTTCTTATATAGATAGGGGGTTGTTTTAAAGGCTTATACTGTCTGTTTTATCCCCAACTTTTCATTTTTATACAATTTTTGTAAATTTATTGATCTTTGGACTATTGGAGAAAAAAGTTATTCTTGCTTTACTTCGATTAACCATAAGGCTTTCAAGAAATTTAATAATATTTAAAATAACAAACTTTTTTTTTAGTTGTTTTATGGAAATTGTTCTAAATTTGTGACAGTTTGAAGTAAATGCAATGCATGATTTTTAAAATTGCTCCCTTAAATATAAAACTGAATTTCTTAGAAAGGAATCGATATGCTAAAAGTAGACAAGAGTACGTTTTTCTGCTTAATGGTCTAGAGATCGATATTTTTTACAAATTTTTTTAAATGGGATATAAATAAAATATTGGGATAAATACCTAAAATTACCCCTTAAGCGATGTATGGAATTTAAATAATACCTTGTTAATTAGAATCTAACTGTAAGTTAAAACATGATTAAGGTATCTGGAAAGACTTCTAAGATACTGTAAAAATATATTTATCTTCCACTTTTAAAGGTTGTACCTCCCTTATTATCTTCTCTATTTTCAGACAAATGTTTATAAAAAAGATACCCTCGTGTTTTATGTATTATGAAGTCCAAAAAATATTGGAAGACAATTTAGTAACACCCTGCGTTTATGATTCACAAAAATATTATTACTATTAACAAAGTTCTTCATTGCAGAATTAGTAGAGAAAAAATTAGTTGAGACAAATGGCTAGAAATTATTTTTGATAAATATAGAATCCTTTCACTGCACATTTGTTTTTAGTTCTAAGTGTTGTTCCGTTGTTGGTAAATTTATAAATAATTTCGATGAGCACTTATCACAAAATTTTTTTCTCGTAGTAAAAGAAAAGTAAAATAAATATTAAGTTTTTAAAATTATTTACATTAAACAATCTGAACCAAATGTAGAACTAACATATTTAGGTTTTTTTTTTGTAGAATTTAATATTCGAAATTAATAAAATAGTGATCTTATCTTCAGTTGTGTTATTGACTGGATAAAAGTCTCGTTACTAATAATTATTAATCACGTCATCACCATCATTGTGTGAGAAAGTATTAGGTGTACAATTTGAATAAATAATATTTCAGAACTGCAAAATGCAGGAAAATCGATGTAATTTCAAAGCTAGAATATTTAAACATCCCAAGGGGACAATTTTATAATTATGTACATGAAAAAATTATTGTTGGTTTATTTGGAATTTCAACTTAAACTTCTAATTTGTCACATTTAAAATAGAAAATAAAGCAAATACAATCATTACCTAAATTCAGTCTTTATGTGTATTTCGCTGGAATCAAATATGTGTGTTTTGTGGGCGAGACAGTTTAAAAAATATTTGCCGACTCATTTTTATTGCTTTTTGTTCGTCATTCTCCATTATCCTTAAAATATTGCAATAGTGATATAATAGAAAATTATTATTCGTTAAGCCCTAAATAGTTCAATTACTTACTCAATGTTAAAAATATTTTGTATTTGTAGAAAAAAAAAATCTTTCATAGGAATATCGCGAATAAATTGAACTATATTTTTCTAGTCTCAATGAATATTCATAATGAAATTTGATATTAGGTTTTTGAAAAATAAAATTGCATTTGAGACATACATTTTTTTTAAACTTTTAATTCACCTTGGAAAATTTATTATTTAATATATTCAATTGAGTTACGACTTGCTTGTGGTTAGTGTTAAAAATGTTATACTCGTGTATTAATAGCCATCATAAATGTTACATAGTACATATTTTTTTTATAAACTAAATTTTAATAGCTACTTCTGGAAACCCACAAGAAAAAGCTTAAAAGAATGAAACAAAATTCTTAGATTACTATGCCATATTTTATTTAAAATTACACCTAGTGCTAAAAGTAATTATATCCCATGACTACATATTTGATGTTTGTCAAAAAACAATGACTAAATTTTTGTATTGAATATATTCCTATATTTTATCAGTAATTGTAGCAATAATCAGTAAGTATAATTACAGGAAAGTCCGGATTATGACTACATTAGGAATTTATTTAGTAATGCCGTAAAGCGTTACGGGTACAAGAACGATTCGAGGCTAGATTTCGATAATTTGGAAAGTGGTAAAAGCCGACAGAAGAAAGTAAGACGTAAAATAATTGGTTGTGAAAATAAAAAACTGTTCCCAAGTTTCTTAATGAGCAGTCCCCTTATGCCCCTTCAGTCAAACATTATTTTTAAGAGGCCAAAACTTAGAAAGAAGGTAAAAAACAAGAAGATAAAGGATAGCGCAATGAATTGGTCTAAAATTTTAATGGATCCCGAAACTATTATGAAGCAAGCTACGAGGGAACGGAAGACAACGGAGGGCAGTGATCAGGGTACAATTACATTGTCCACAAGGGATTTGTATAGCATGAATCCTACTTATGCCATGCTGGAAGTTTATAACAAATGTAAGGACCGAGACGTTTCCCCAAGATATAAAGGAGACAAGTAAGTCCATTTTTGCATAGCTGCCATATTATTATTTTCAGCTTAGTTGCATTTTTGAACTCAGTGTGCTATTTTCATCTTGTGCCATCAACTCAATAAAGAAAATACTCTCAGTGCACCAAAGTGCAAATGAGTCAAAAACACTTAAAAATTGGTTCAATTTTGATATTGTATAGGTATGTTAAGAAATGTTTTCAATTATACAAAATGTTGATATGGCCTGGGTGCTATTTAACTTTGATTTTTTTTTAAAGGAAACCCTGTCATAAAAATTAAAGGATAATAAAGAATCCTAAATTTTTAGGTAATTTAATGAAAAATGACAATAAAAAAAGCAAATTGAGGCTTCAAGTTTCTAGTTTAAGGATCTGAAAGAAAACATTTTTTATTGTCGGCTTCTTTTAAGAAATTATAAGAAACCAGTGGAAAAAGAAAATTTTTGTTTCCCTTTCCAAAGGCTCTTCTCTTAGTTCTTTTGGTTTGATTCATCCTTTTTAATTTGAGCTGTACGTGAGCTTTGTACGATGATTTGTCACTGAGTTATCGTCATTCAAAACAAAAATTACCTTTTTGGCTTTGATAAATTAATTACTTGGGAACTACTGATCATACATAGATTATGAGCAGGGTTTTGAAACCTTCTATCTTCTATGACATTTTTATAGTTTTTTTGATAAACAAATAAATTTCGATGCAGAAAACTTGATTCAATAGAAGGTAAAAAATTATGTGTTTAAGGTTTTTTGCTAAATTAGCGATAACTTTACAAATAATGAATAGATAAAATTTTCGTTTTCTTTTAACCTCAAGGTATCCTAAAGAAACCCAAATGATTGAAATTCTCAATTTTGCTCAAAATCAGATGAATTTAGCATCTTTTATTATTTTTTTAAATTGAAATTTATTTCGCAAAATCCATACCTATTTTATTTTGTCAAAAAATGTTATATCGAAATAGTGATGTGTCGCTCATGAACAAGTCGTTACTTTTGAATGACTCTTTTTGATGTGCCCTGAACGAACGACTCACTTTAAGTGAACGATTCGTTCATTTGGCGCTACAACACGGCATACGTTCAGCAGCTCGCACGCTCTAAGGTTTAAATAAATCGGCGGAAGCTGATCACCTCAAACAAAGCTGAAATTAAACAAAAACGGATTTCCAAAATTTTGTTTTTTTTTTCAAATATTTCGAAAACTAATCATGTTAGCCTTGATTTTCTAGGCATAATGTTGGTCCCCTGATTATGCAACTTTGCCCCCATTTAAGCTAATTTATATCTGTAGTGTTCTTCTATCGGGAGTCAGTTAACAACTGCCTCTGCCTGAGGACGAGTCCTCGTCCTTGGCTGCCGGTGCCACGTGACCACTTCCGCTGATGCAGCTACGTTTTTACATTGTTGCCAACACACCACAATATCTATTACCGTTTCCAAAATCCCTGTAGTGAGAAGCGAATTTGTAACAGCCTGTGTAATATAGTTTTTATGAGTATAAATGAGAGTTTTGATAAAAAAAAGGTATGGAGATTCAAAACTATGAGATTCTTCTAAATATATTTACCATGAACTTTTATGATAGTTATAGTGCGAGATAAACATGCCATTTTTTAAATAATTAACACATATTTCATCTTTTCTTTTTTCAAGTATTTTCTGTAAAAAAGAGGTACAAAATATATAATTAAGTAGATTGTTCAAATTTACAGGTTAGAATTTCGTTTTACGATAATAATAGACAAAATACACAATCAATTCTATGATTATCGCAAAGACAAACAATTTCAGCTTATAATTCATCAATTGTGGATTTACATTTAAGTAACTAGAAGCTATTATTGGCTGTTGTTGGCACTGCTATCTAGACTGCAGAGTATGATATTAAAGAATTGCCTATTTATTGAAAAAATAAGTAAAATTGCAATTGTAAACAGTATTAAGTAACATACATACGATCAATAACTTCTAAGCCAACTTAGATGTTACCAATTCTACTAAATATTATCTTTTACCTCTAATCTTGTCAGTCAACAGAGTATATCATCATACCTCCATACGGTGATCCTTATTTTCACACATACAAATAAAAAAAAAATACAGACAAAATGATGCCTGATTGTTACAGAATAATTTATTTTATAGCGCTCTTGAATTGGACAACATCGATGGTTATACTCCTGCTATGATGATTGTTTATAAGAGAATGAAAGAACGGCAAGAGTTTGAGTATGAACAGGCTCTTTTAATGAATAATAATAACAAAACAAGTAGCAAAGGTTCCCGTTGTTCGACAAGAAAGCGGTTGTCGAAACGGAGTATACGTCCCGAGTCATCACCTCTTCAACGATCATCATCACGAGCAAAGTCTCAATCCCTTGGTAAGTAATTATTATTCTCCGATTGATAATTTAAACAACACCACTTTCTTCTTGCTAACTTTATGAAAATTTCCAACTGAAAACGGTATTAGAAAGCTTGCACTTGAATGAAAATGATCTCTTTTTAATAGTTCTTCAGAAGAAAGAAGTCCCACATCTGAAAAGGGTAAAGAGCATTCCTTTGCGAAGAACTTATAGCTTAAGGGGTTAAAGCAACTAGTTTTTACCATTCAACGATTTGGATGTTTATAAATCAGCATTATAAATATATTTTTGTAAGACTGTTGCATACATTTCTGTAGAGTTAGTTTCCTTTTTGCAAAAATTCGTTATTGGTTCAAGTTATTATGTTCGTTTGTGAATTTTATCAGGAAAGTGAGACTGACGGTTGAATAATTTTGATAAAAATGCAGATACAAAATTTGGTATTACAGTTTTTTTTTTACATGAACTTAATAACGTTTAGGACAAGTTCGTTATGTTAAAGCTTATTTTAGTGGCAGTGTTGTGCATGGTATAGTAAATATTCTCGAAATCATTAGAAATGTAGTTACTAACGTAACTGATAATTCATTGAAAATTTAACAAGGAATTAAATAAATCTGAATAATATATGACCACAGACGGAAAATATAATTATTGTAAAGTAGTTCCTTCTCTATATTTGTATGCATATTTAAACTTCGCTAGACTATTTATGAAACTCTTCGTGTATCATTAAGTAAATATTGCTGTAAATAAAAATACATCATGATACTGTACACATACGTAGGTCATAAGTTAATGTTTTTGTTTATTTTTATAACCTGTGATTTATTTTTATAATAAATGTGGTTGGTATCATTATTTGTTGCTTTCCTGTGACCCAGAGGTTTAAATAATGGGGCTCCTATTTTACCTATTCGGATTACCTACCCATTAAAATAGCATGACATCGCATAAGTGGACATCGAGGTACCCCATTTTCACATCGAATCTTAAAATGTAGTGTAACATTTGTTTTAATTTGTGTTTTATTGGTGTTAAATTAATCAGTTGTAGAACAAGTGGAAGAAAATGGGAAAAAATAACAAAAATATACCTGAAATCCATATTCTATATACAGGGTGTTTATTTAAAATGTATATTTGGAAAAAACATTTTTTTTTTGTAAAATGATTAATTCTACAGCTAAATTTATTGAAATGCTTGGTAGAAACAGTAACTGGAAAATATTCAATTTTTTTTATAAAACATTTTAGTTAACGCAATAGTGTCGAATATTTGTTATTGGTACAAATTCAGTGAATTTTCACTTTGTAAGCCTAAGTTTCATCTCTCTATTTCAAACATCTTCAGACTTACAGTGTTTGTTACAGCAGCCCCCACCATCATATTTGGGAATGGATGGTGGGTCGATTCTCAATTTTCTTTTTGCAAGGAGGATAAGATTACTTCACCATAATGTAATTTTTGTTTCTATCCCAATTTCAAGGCATACTGTGTTAAAAACACCTTGCCAAAAATTGAAAAATCATACTAGGAATTTTTTCTTGTAATATTTTGGGATTTAATCCATAGTTTGGAAATAAGTGTACATAATGTTTTCATAACATTTTGCAATTGGTGGCCATTTTCAGCAGACGATCGAATAATATTGCAATTTTCCGATTTCAACTGGTCTTTTCGTTCATCTAGTTCAACGGTTTCTACCTTTTTCCTTTGGGCCTCCTTAAAAGGTAGGGTGTATGCAAATAAACCGTTAATCACCCAATAATTAAGATGTTGGGGGACCTGCAATTGTAACCAATAGTAGAAAACACCCTGGAGAAAGCATCGCATCAGGTCGAAGCTGAAAATGGGCATCATTTGCAAGATGTCACTTGCAAAACGTATTGTACCCATTATTTCGAAACAACATATTAATTTTTATAAAAATAAAATATTGCAAGGAAAAAATTTATTACGCTTTTAGATTTGACAGTGCTAAATAATTCGTACAGTAGTGCGTGATACTATTTTTTATTTGTGGCTGTTTTGTGCAATAAAAATGGCACGTTTATGAAAACAATGAACTAGTCGACATAATATTAACTTACGGGGAGTGCCAACAAAATGCAGCCGCAGCATGTCACCTGTACACGGAAAGGTTTCCTTTACGAAATCATCCGGCTCCGTGGATGTTTGTAAATTTAGTTATAAGACTCTGTGATACAGGGTATTTAAAGGAACAACGAGGGGGCCACACTGGAAGACCTCCACACGAATTGGTGGAAATCGAGGAAGAAATTTTAGAAATTATCGAAAACGACCCAACAACGAATACTAGGTCCATGTTAATAAACAAACAATTTATCTTTTATTTAAACGATTTTTGGTAAAAATGTTAAAATAAATGACTCAACTTTGAGAACACCCTGTATAAAAAGCATATCCACAGAGTAAGAGTACTGCGATTCTGATGCTATGTGGTTTTTGTTTTCGACAAAGTTGGCAACATTGCATTCAAGGCCAAGCTGTTCGGAATAGTGTGTGCTCATTTATTTGTCTCGGTCGTTGAGAACTGTTGTTGTAGTGGCATGTTGAAATGAGTGCTATTCCGAATCCTGCAATCTGCAAGATGAGGAGCAAAATCCAGTTTGTTCTTACAAAGAGGAACCTTTTTATAAAGGAAAATTAGTCAAATAAAAAAAGCAAAAAATCGACTTGTGAAAAAAACCTTTGTGGTGGCAAAAGTAACTTGCAGCTAAGAAAGCCACATAATAAAATGAGATGCTGAAAAGTGTATTATACAGAGCGTTCATAAATGCTTACAAGCTGAGCTTAGACAGCCCAACATTGCATGACTGGTATTAGTAATGAAAAATCCCTGGATCTTGGTGTCACCGATATTGTTGATTTGTTTACTATGAACAATGACAAACCGTTACATCTACGCTCGAAACAATGCGATTGCGATTGGTTAAATAGTATCTTGTGAAAAATTATACCAATCACAGCCGATGAAACGGAACGTTGTGTTCTAATGCAGCGGTCTTCAAACTTTTACGACTTGCGGAGCCTGCCCAATAATTAGATTTTTTTTGACATAAAAAATTTTCAAAACTAGTATAAATTTTTTGAATTTTGTTATTAATTTCAAAATTTTGAATTTTTGATTGAGTTGTGGAACCCCTAGAGTTGTAGTGAGGAACCCCAAGGTTTCGCGGAACACAGTTTGAATACCTCTGTTCTAATGTAATCTTGATCTTGTGCTAATCATTTCTAATTTTGCCGAAATTTAATTGCCAATGCGAAGAAAATAAAATCACTGTTCCAAACAAAATTGTTCATCACGTGGCTTGCAATCATTTATGAACATTCTATATTATTAACAGTTAAGTTGTTTTTAACAGTGTTTTCAACTTAAAACCCATAAAAAATGATCAGGAGATAAGACCACACATTACATATGTAGTGGTAGAATACTTATTTCAATTTATTTGGGGAGAAACGTATCCTCTTGCACTTTGAACATGAAACCTATAATTTATACCTACCAATTTTTAGTGGTGTGTCCATTGTCCAATAAGAGATTATAAGAAAATCACAACGTAAAAACCAAATTTTTGTAAAAAAAAAAAAACACCTCGAATATTGTGGTTTTCATAATTTATTACACGAATTTAAATTTAAAAATGATTAGTTAACTTCTGAATATCTGTGAGATCGTCGATCAATTCCTCAATCTTAGTTCCAATTTTTTTTGAAACCTACAAAAAATCTTTTATACACGGTTCACATATAAATACATTTATTTTACTTACCTCCGATTTTTCCGTTATAGAAAGGTGCATAAAATTCCACACTAAATCACCATCGATAATTGATCTAGCCGGATTATTCTGCAATTTTCTCCAACTTTTATATGTCCTGAAAATTATTTTTATTAATGCGTCGAAACAAGGACTTTATTTTTTAATACCTATAAGCCTTTGGGTTTAATCCAGCTATATGTGTACCTTGGGAAACCAACACGTTTTGCAACATAAGCAACCTACGATAGGTTTTTTCTGGCACTGGCATGATGTATCCTAGACCTCCATCCAATGTTGCTGTAAAAACATTTTTCCCAAAATCTTATATGTACAAGTAGAATTTATATACGAGGTTTGATCAAAAAGTAACGAGAATTTTCAAATTGCACGTGTTGTATCTTGTCTGAGTTGATTTTTTATTTGTGTATTGGTAGCAGTGACACACCTGTCAATTTTTAGGCAGCTGTCATGCTTACTTTGTGTTTAGCAAGCAAATGAGTAAGACTTATCTCAGCGTTTTTGTGTAGCGAAATGTCAGATTAGAGTTTGTCTGTTATTTTTTGTTAAAAACGGAATTAAGTGCAATGAAACGTTCAAAATGTTCAAAAGGCCTTTGGCAACGATACTATGTAACGGCCACGAGTTTATTAATGGTACAAATGTTTTGAGGAAAGCCAAGACATCGAAGGTGAGGTGGTTAAAGGTGTAGGTCCTTCTAACCGTTTTCTTCGACTACAATGAAATAGTTCATCACGAATTTTTACTCCCCTGTCATTAAGTTAACAAGAAGTACTGCCTACAAGTTTTGCACAATTTACATGAGGCAATCAGGAGAAAATGATAAGAACACGATAGTCAACTCGTGGATTTTGCACCACGACAATGCACCGACATATAGTGCTGTGCTTATCCAACAATTCTTGGTGACACAACATCATTGTGATGCCGCAACTACCCTATTTTCCGGTCATGACCCCTTTGACTTTTTCCTATTTCCCAAAAGGATAATCAAAGGATGTTTTTCAACGAAAGGATGAGATAAAGGCAAAATCACACACTGTGCTCAAGAGGGTCCCTAAAGGGATAACAGTGTTTCTCAAACTGGAAACTACGTTGGTATAAGTGTATAATATCACAAGCAGATTACTTTGAAGGAGATAAAAATTGAAGATTAAATACATTATGAGAATTCCCTTTATTTTTTTATCAAACCTCGTATAAATTTTTTCCATTTATGGTTTTCTTGAAGTAACTTACCAAACATTGATATATATCTTCTGTCGGCTCCAGAAAAATGTTTTTTGTCTTCTCCAAGTTCTCCCAATTTGCATTTAATTTTGAAAAATGTATTGACAGCCTGTCCCAGATGAAAATCTGCTTTCCTTAGTAGTCGTTGGCCTTTTTAAAAATGTAATATGTTACAATGATTATATGTTAGTAGAAAACAAAAAATAAAAATGATTGATTTTGGGAGTTCACTGAAAACTTTTATGTCCCACATTACACCTACATTTCTCTCCAAGAATTCCAGAATTTCTACACCACTGAATATTTTAGAAACTGAATAAGTGCATAGTTCCAGTTAGTAATTCTAAGAAAAAAATGTCTCATTTTGTTTGAAAAATAAGTTCATGTAATTGGGTCAGTCGGTGGCCAAGCGGTTCAAAGCGTCAATACTTGAATCGACGAATGCCATTCTCGCGGTTTCGACTCCGCAACCGTAAGACTGTAGACCAGCTATCTTCGTAAAAAGGAATTAGGCACCATTTTTGCAGGTACAGAAGGGTGGAAAAACATTGGCTTGGGTAAGTGTGAGAGATTGATTCCGTTCGGCGTTTGACCATCTCCTTAATTAATGAGGTTTTCCAGGTGTCCCTCATTGCCACACTGAATGGTGGTCAGGGCTTACCAACATAAGTCGTTCCTGGGTGCACATGCGGCCTACTGAATAATAATATGTCGCCCCCTCTCCCGCACAAGTCTCCGACTTCTGGGCTAATCCTTGCGATTAGAATGGGGCGCAGAGATATTATTATTGATTTAAAAAAATAAGCTTTCAAAGAAATTGAAAATAACTTTAAAACCATTAGTTTCACAAAAAAAGTATAACAGTCATTTGTGTAAGAAATTAAATAAATAAATTAAATTTTAAATATAAAGTAACTATAAAAAGTTCAAAAAAATCATTGGCACAGGTACTTTAAAATTTGAAGAATCGCTACGCCAATTTTTTTTTAGCCTCCGATTGTTACATTGCGTTTAAAATTATATTTCGAATTTACTCATCTATGTCGAAGGCTTTTTTAAATTAAAAAAAAAATACTTATTCAGGTAAGGGTCGATTTTCATACAAAATGCAAGACACCTCTTTTGTTAGAAACACCAATCGGAATTAAATGCATTCATGCAATTCACAAAATATTCAGTGGCATTGAAATTCTAGGGTTCTAATAACGGTATCTTCAAGCGTCTCTCCCATTGGTTGACAGATTTGTGTGTGGAGTCATTGAATTTTGGCCATAATTAGTAAAGTCATTACGTCAAGTTTCATCAGTCTATGTCAAACGCAAGAGATATTTGAAAATTAAGTGTTCAACAACCTAAGATTATTTTTATTTATTTATTAAAATTTGTTTCTTATTCTGAGGGTGTTTTATTACCAGGGGCGGCCTTAACCATTGCGAGGCGGGTGGCAGACTTTGCGAAGCCCCGGGCGGCAGATCTTTGCGAGGCCCCTGTTTGTGAAAAGTACGTAAATCGAATGCACGAGTAGATATTTCTGATGATTTAAGAGAAATGCAAAAGTTATAAATTTTGAGTTTTCAAATATTAAGAGATTTTTAAAAGTTAACAAATACAAATTTTTAATAACGATAAAATAAGGTACAAGATTCAAACATAATTTTACAAGTTTTTATTTAACTTGCCTTGTTAGTATGGGTCAAATCTTACAATTGAAACAGTTATCCCCAACCGATTGAGCTGAAACTTTGCATACACGTTTAGTTTGGATAACACTGCATGGTTAGCTAAATCCAATATGGCAGACTCCCAAAGATGGCGGACCATTTATTTTTTATTCACCAACATGATATGGGTATCAAAAGAAAGGGTTTCCTGAGAAGAATACGAAAATGAAATGACGTCACTAAAAACTTGTTTTTTTTTTAAAATTATACATGAACGTACTAAATTATGTTTTAGTCAAATTATAAAAAATATTATCCACTGATAAATTAATTGATTTTGATATCGATCATTAAATAAATCTAAATGAGAAATATTATTTAGGCACCTATTACTACTTATAAGTATTAATATATTTACTATGAATTAACAAACTTTATTTTATTGTCATATACCTATATAACCAATAACTAAGGATAAAATAAAGTTTTAAATAAAACTTTTTTTTTTTAGTCGGGTTGTTTGTCGTACGAGGCCCCTGCAAGAGTGAGATCCTGAGTGATTGCCCTGCTCGCTACCACCTAAGGCCGCCTCTGTTTATTACTGAGTAAAGTTTAGCATGTACAATTCGGGTAATTTTCAATGTTTCACTTTGTGTATAATTTTTTTTGTTTTACTGATCATTAACGTTTTTTCAAAAAATTATTTAACACATTCGCGAATGTATACAGTAGGGTGGCCCAAAAAAAAGCGATTATTTTTTTTTCGTGTATCTTATGAAAATGTTAGTTTATCATGTTTTAAGAGCCCCCTTAAAAAATCAGCTCAAAAAAAAATTTTTTTGTGGTCGCTCAAAATTTTTAAAAATTTCCAAAATCACCAAAAATTGTTTTTTAAACATTTTTTTTCATTATTTTATAATTTTCTAGGTAGAAAACAATCTCGATTCTGAAAATTTCAAATCGATATTTTAATTTCTAAAGGTCTCATAATTATTTTAACTTTCAAAGTAGTGTACATATATTTTCGAGCGACCTCTAAAAAATAAATATCAACGAACTAATAATTTTTTTTTATTGAATTTGATGAACAAAATAGAAATAAATCACTTAAATTTTAAAAAATTAAAAAATTATAAATATTTGATACTCGCAGTGCAGTAGTAAATTTTCCCTCGAGAATGTTTTTAAGTGTCTCGTGATTTATTTCTATTCTTTCGTTCATCAAATTCAATAAAAAAAATTATTAGTTCGTTGATATTTATTTTCAGTTGCTCGAAGACATTTTAGGTACACTACATTTAAAGTTAAAATAATTATGGGTGACCTTTAGAAATTAAAATATTGATCTGAAATTTTCAGAATCGAGATTTTTTCTACCTAGAAAATTATAAAATAACGGGAAAAAAAATTAATTTTTGACGATTTTGGAAATTTTTAAAAATCTTGAGTGACCCCTAAAAAAATTTTTTTTTGAGCTGATTTTTTGAGGGGGCTCTTAAAACATGATAAACTAACATATTTTCACAAGAGACACGAAAAAAAATATATTCGTTTTTTTTGGGCCACCCTAGTACACAGTGATATGAAAAATATGAAAAAAAATATGAAAGTCATTTTCAGTCTTTCTTTTACGGATATTTTTTTGCATGACATGCATCTACCGCATAAAAAAAAGGCCACGATGTAGTTCAAAATAGAATCTAATTTTTAATTATTACCTCCCAAAGATTCCCTAGCCTCAGGCTGATACATGTACAAGACTAAATTCTTTTCTCGGTCAGAAACTAAGAATCCTAGTGAAGAATTATCGATCATATACTCCACAGAGTATACTTCACAAGGTTTGAAATCCTAGAATCGATAAATATGTAAGATAAAAAAATAATTACAAATTTGTGTTGAACGTACCCTAGACACAAGAGACAACGTCCTGTATTCCTCTTGAAATCGCAACAAAGCTATCGATTTATAAACATCAGCAATTAACAACAAACTTTTTATGGTAAGTATTTGATGCGTGTACACTTGTGTGTCGATGAATGCTACTCCAATTAGGTCGTTGTCTTTTAGTTGCCAAATGTATATCTACAAACGAACGATAATTAAAAAAAAGGATTGTAATACTTGTTTTTATTTTGAAGGCGCTATCTGAGAATTTATAATGTTAAAAGATTATATAATTATTTATATCTACCTTTTGCCCGACAGCGGATACTAAGAATCCTTTAACTTGTGAAAGTGCAGTCACAGGTCCTTTTTGGTCTTTGGCATATATTTCTTTAAATTTATTTTTAGTTAACGGTTGCCCAGGTTCCGGCACAACTTCTATGATATCGTAGATTAAAATCTATATAAAAATATAGTACCATTATTAATGTTATGTGACTGTGTCCTTTAGTACACAAAGAAAAGAGTACCCAAGCCATCATCAAAGCTAATCGTCAATCTAATAACCTCCCAATAAGAGAAAACATACAATACTTCCATACATACAAACATTCAAAAATCCCACTTACATTTATAGAAAAAGGTTTAAAAACATTTTTTTCTTGATGTATTAGTATAGTCTTTCCGAAGTCATGTAAAAAACGCCTGGCAATAAAATTTAATGAGTTTCATAGGCGCCCCTAAAAAAGTTTTCTGCTGAAGGTAACAAATTATAATTTGTACATAATTGTAGAAAATGTGTATTATATGTTCATTGGCCAACAACATATTTTAATTATTTATGTCCTCAAACAATTTTATTATATTGATGGTAAATTTTGGTTATCATATCATAAAACATTTAAATTTTCAATAAAATATATTACTGCTCGGCATTGCTGCACTGCACTGCTAGGCGATTTGTCAACAACTGAAATTTATGGCCGGTCGTCCAGTGCGGCTGCGTTTGTGCGCCGTTTGCCCTCGCGCGCATTCTTCAACTAGGCAAATACATTTCTACCACCTCCACGTTTAGTTTGACCAGACCTGTATATAGGTATGGCTAAATAAATATGGGAACAAGTTTTTCAAATATTTCAATGCCAAGTTGCTGCGTAGCGACCGAACCTGGTACATACTGCCTAGCTCTTTGGTCTTCAATTGAGATCGGAAAGACTATACCATTTTTACCAAAAATATTAAGACACAATCTTGGATCATCATTGTATATGTAGGTGGTATGAAAAGTTCCCGACCTAACAAAGCTACAAGACATTTTTTCTTCTTTATTCTTATTTTTCTACATAGTCTCCTTGTAAATCTACACGTTTCTCTCAGCGATACTTCCATCTCTTTAACCAGTACAAATAGTACTTGGAGTCTTTCTTTGCAAAATAATTGTTTTCGAAAGTGATGGCCTCCTCATTTGACAAAAATCTCTGTCCTCTGAGCGCAACTTTTTGCTTAGGGAATAAAAAAAGTCGCTTGGAGTTAAATCTGGTGAGTAAGGAGGGTAGTCGAGCAGTTGAAACTGTAATTTGTGGATTTTCACTATGGCAACCACCGAGGTGTGAGACAGCGCATTATCTTGGAGAAACAAATTTCCACTATTTCTGCCAACAACTTGTCAAATAATGATGTGTAATGTAATGGTTTTTCCTTTGTGAAGATAATCGATTAAGCTAACTCCATGATTATCCTAAAAAACAATCGGTAACACTTTTCCAGCCGAAAAAACAGTTTTTGCTTTATTTGGAGCTGATTCCCCTTTCGCAGTCCACTGTTTTGATTGTATTTTTGTTTCTGGGGTATAATGGTGTATCCAAGTTTCACCTACAGTAATTAATCGGCGCCGAAACTCTGATTTATTGCGCCAACAGAGCGTTGGAGATGTTCAATCAAACACAGTTTTGGCCTAACATGAGCAAACACGGCGCCCAACGTGTGGACAGTTTTCTCATAACTAAATCTTGATTCAATATATGACAAACACGTTCTTTGGACATATTCATAGCCTCTGCTACCTCTCTCACTTTAACTCGACGGTTGTCTAGCACCATTTGATGGAATTAAGTGATGTTATCGTCAGTGGTTGCAGTTTTTTTGACGTCCTGAACGTTCATCCTCTCCCAAGCTGGTACGACCACGTTTAAATTCAGCTGCCCAAAATTTCGCGGTGGTAAATGATGGTGCAGAGTCCTCATACTTTCAAAAACAAATATTTAATAAAAGTTCGATATTCGATTTTTACTATTTTCACAAAAACACTCACATCGACCCACTTAAAATGATTGTCAAACTACAACTGCTAAAATGGCTGAAATTTTGGCGAGTACCTTTCAAAAGCTGCACACACATTCCCTAGCTTCTGCTGACGAGTGCTGCCATCTTCATGTTAAGGTCGGAAACATTTCAGACCATCCACGTAGTTGGATGAAGTACTTACCCTTCCTCTTGAGGTAATGTCCTCGCCGTAATTATAATTAGTTCCAAGAGCGATGTACCCCTTAAGGCCGGACCTCGTGCCTTCATAAGCTAAGGCTACATTTTTCAAACAATTCACATGTTCCCATTCGTCCAAATCGATTTTTGTGTTCGGAATTACATCCCAAGATACAGGTGAAAATAAACAAATACTGAATTTCTCTTGCAGGGGATATGGAAATCTGCAAAAATGTGCTTTAACATCATATCCTATGTACCTTTAGTATCTAAAAAGGTTTCGTGTGTCGTGAAATACAATCTTACTTACCTGTCCCCTTTTTCTTCTATAGATAGTTCCTTGTCCTCCCCATTAAATTTATAATATCTGTCGGACGGTTCCGCCAAGCTGGTAACGAGACAATACGTTTTTGATTCTAAATGGTAACTAACAAAATGAGGGGTACACCTCAAAGGTACTTTTCTGACAGGCCAAGGAGCGTCGTAACTCAAATGAGTCGGTAGTACTCCAATTCTCAATTCCGACTAAAATTAGTTTACGTCAGAAAAAAAAAGAATAAATGTATATCTGATCTAAAACGGACCTTTCTGTTGAAGTATAAAAATCCTTGTGGGCAATTTACGTTGTTAAATGGAGCAAAACTTAATACTTCTCCATCGATAACCATGGCATGTGTCCTCAATTCGCCTCTTGCAGTCAAAAATATCCAATGAGGATTTCCACCGCATATAAAGACACCATTATAGCCTAGAAGTAGTAATCACTCAAACACATATACAGAGTGTCAGGAAATAAAGAGACCATACTTCAAGGATAGCTTCATTCGATGAAACTGAATGATTTTGATCGAGTACACTGAGAATGTAATAAAAATCGGTGAAAATTTACAAAAGATCATGAATGCCAAAATTTTGTAAAATTTTGCTCCTTAATTATATTACAAGGACTGTGTCACAATGGGCGCTAACATAATAGAGGTAAAATGTTATTTGATAATTTTACACTGTAACAAACATTTAGTATGGCCAAAAATGTTACAAAAAGTTGAAGCGTATCCATAAAGTAAGAGTACTCAGACTCTGATGTTCAGTGGTTTTTGTTTCTGACAAAGATGGCGACACCCATTCAAGGCCAAGGTGTTGGGAGCAGAGTGTGCGTTCATTTGCCTCAATCAGTTGAGAACTGTTGTTGTAGTGGCATGTTGAAATGAATACCCCTATTCAATATCCCGCCAGCTGCAAGGTAACAGGAGTAATCCGGTTTCTTCTTACAAAGAAAAAGGTGCCATTCCAGATTTTTAACGGAACCAAAACTGTTTATGGGAATGGAATAAATCGTACTAATGGGTACAAGTGGTGTCGTGGCAGAACTCCTGAATTTCGGCACCAACTGAGCAGTATTTGGGGCCGAATACTATTTCAGCTTTCTTTTTTCAGTACATAATTTACATCCATAAAAATTTTAAATATATCTAAAATTATTCTGTTTTATATAATTAATTATAATTTTTACTCTATCCATTAACAAAAAAAAAAATAAATTGGAAAATGTTCCTTTTTGTAAATCTTCACTGCAGAAAATAATTTATTTGTGAACACTATTTTGTTACATTTTAATATTTTTTAAATAAATATAGAAATTAGTAGACGTAACTGCTTCTTACAACATTCATTCCTATTTGGGCAGAGCATAAATGTCCTGTCACCAAACACTAGATAAAACATTTCAACATTCCAAAACTTTAAAATAGAAGATTTTATTGTCCACAGCTGTACTAAGCTATTTTGACCTAAATCAGTTTATTTCCATAAAGAAAGTTATCCCTAAGTATGGTTCATTCATTTTCAGAAATCCTGCATTTAACTTTTTTTTACATACCTGAAATATTTCCAAAGTATCGCATCTTGATGATACGGTCTTGCAAAGCAAAAAAATCAGAATTTTCCGTATCAATTTTCCCCGATATATTCGGCGAATATATTATATTGTGCTTTATTTTTTTAAAACGAAGTTTGAGATTACCACGTGGAAATCTGAATACTTCGTATATGTACAGATCACGATCTAGTCTAACAAGAAGTATCGGTCTCATTCCATTGTTGCCTAAACCCACCATTAAGATTTCCCTAACTTGATAATCTTGCTGGATTTGGGTTTCATTAGCAAATATCGACGGGGATAACGTGACCGATTCTAAGCTATCCACCAGTACCTTAAAATAAAAACAAAATATTTGTAACATTTCCTATTACCACTAGAAGTGGTAGACTGTTCTTATGTAAAACATTTATATAAAAAAAAATGTTATGCAGATAATACATCTTTCACGAGTTGTACAGGGTGAGTCTTATAGGGAGGTGTTACCAAGGAGATAGGCGAAAAAGAGTCTGGAGAAGCAAAAATCACATGGTAGTACCTTAATTCCTCTAAGACAATTTTTTTCGGTCGATTTTTTGTTTTTTTTGTCACGTAAATCTATTGATTTAGATTTCTCTGGTTTTTCGGTTATAATCCAAAATTTTTTTTAAATGGGATGCAATTTTTCGATTTTTGACTGCATAAAATTTCCTTCCGAATAATGCATCATGCGCAGGACATGTACCTCTACATTTTTTTTATAAATACATAAAAAATCATTTTGTTTTTGTAATTCAAACAGGGAAATCCGAACATTGAGAATATTTCTTTTCTGGTGTTTAATTCTTCTTGAAAATAGGAAAATTTTCCCAAATAGAAAAGTTCCGATTGACCATTCTTAAATCAATTATTTTTCAATTAAATTGAACTACAAAAAATCATTTCTGGTCCTTATAACTTAAAATATTTTTTGTGTAAATATCATGTAAAAATGTGACTATGTATAAAAAAGGAACCGATGATATCAGATAATGCGATGACGCGACCAGAGGAGACTGCATCACTTGGCTACCTCACATTTATATCCCAAGAATTACCTGCCCAAGTGTACATACGTGTTTTTGGTCATTGTCGCCGGATTAAGGCTACGGATTGGGATGATTTATTTAAACCGACAAATACCCTTAATGCAGAAAAATATACTTAAATGTACAATGCGACAATTGTAAATAGTACTCGAAATGATTTAAATAAAAATACATATTTACATAGAGATACCAAGATTATTAATAACTGGAACTTTTCATTTATTCTAGCTTACACCAAAATATTACATTATTATTAATGTGAAAACATACCAGGAGCTTAGTGTCCCCACAACAAAATGAGGCAGATATTTTTTGTTGCAAACCTAATGTTATTAAAAATAAATTTTTCTTTTCTACTTAGTTCAAATTCGGGGTTTCTAATTTCACTAGATTTGTTTTCTCTTTTTTTTTACTTTTTGTATATCATTTGTATTCGTTATTGTTTAACACTTTTTACGTATTTTTGTAACTGTATTTATAGTGAATCACAACTTATCCAAAAAAATTTGGGAATAGATGCGGCATGAGAAATGGAGTCAATATCATAAAAAAAAATTGTACAATTCTTAGAATAGTTTCCGAGAAAAAAATTATTGAAGTTGTAGTACTTTCAAACACTCTATCGCTGGACAACTGTAGTCTCTAGCGTCATTCGCAATACACGTGGAGAGTACGTGGCCCCAGCGACTCCGAATACTGAAATCCAATTTTACAATCGTCGTTGCAATAGTGTTTACAATAGTTTTTTTAGTAGTTAGTGTCAAAAATGGCTTGCATGTAAAGCAACTCGGAGTTGATGGATATCGTTTTAATTTATGGTGAAGCAAGATAACATTTGTATTATGGTGAAACATTTGTGTTATGGTGAAACAGGACAACATTTGTGTTAGTTCGTAGAAACTGACGGGCCCAAATGTGTTTACACGTCGGTGGACAAAACTTTGAACAGTTGTCGTAACATCAGGTGTCAAATTATTTTATTAATTAAAACCACAAATTAATTTTATTAATTAATAATAACAATAGCGGCAAAATCAGTTGAATTTACTGATATAAAATAGGTGCTATAAAATTCTATTTATTCCTCTCAAAAATTTGTTTTTGTCCATTTTTATCACATTTTGCCGTCGTGCCGGTCCCATTGTGCGTGGTCAGGTTTTATAATGGACTAGTTTCCAGTACCGGGCAGAAGTGCATTTTTAAATCATTTTCAAACTGCTCTTTTTGATTTTTTCTTTACAAAATTGTATATGAGTCCCCTGTACATCCAAATTTTTTTTGTATTTAAAGTATTGATAATTTCTGTCTTTTAACTGGATTTATGTCTGGATAGGGTTAAATAAATAAATAAACAAATAAATCAATAAATAATTTAAAAATTATATCTTGTAGAAAAATATCGTATATATCATCCGATCCTGAACAAAAAGCTGAATAAAAAACGTCTGCAAACTATATAAATTTATCATCACAAAAAACAAGACAAAAATTAAAAATGCCCCTTAAGCCAATCAAGACATCTAGAAGTGTTTGTTACCATTCAATTTTTGCTTGAAAATAGAGACTGTAGTCTTTCTATCCATCTCTACAGAAAATATAAGAATTTCATAATAATGTCGAAATAGGTCCACCCTGTACAATTATTTTGAAAATAATTCAACGTACTGAACTGTAAAATTTAAATATTTAATTTAAAAATACAACTTACCTTAAAACCAAAACATAAGTTCGTGACATAGAAACTCAACTTGAAGTCTGGAATCGAATAGATTTCCAAATTAGAATTGTCTCGGACAACGAAAAGCCAATAAGTTGGCTTAAACGGCGTCAAATACTTTTTCCACCAATTATAATACACCTTCGGTTTCGGTTGAGGAGGGTTCAGCGAGGGCATTTTAAAATCAGTTTCTCCGTAGAGCAAGTCATCCTCGTTTTCCATTTCCGATTTTGTTTCGGTTTCGGTTATAACGTGCTGAGGCACTTGAACAAATTCTTCAGGAATTTTATTCGTAAATAGACCAGACGTGTCCTTGTACATACAAATGGTTGATATGGGAGGGTTCTGAAAATGTACAGGTAACCAAAATTGTTTAGAATCATTACCATTAAACAGTTTTATTTACATGAAAATGTCCCGTGCGATCAGAATACGCTGTTAGGAAAACAAGTGAATATTAATTTAAGAATATGTAGCCAAAAAACCTATTTTTATATAAAAAAAAAACTATATTCTTTTGTACAACATGACATATTGGAGACATTTCAACATCACAGAATGCTTCGCTTCACATAACATTTAAAAAAGTTATAAAAACATCTTAAAACAAATTCCTAGATGCCGCTCGTTTAACCAAAAGACAAATATTACCGTTTCTGAAAATATTAATAAACTAAAATATTAACAACATTAAAAGTTAAAGGAAATTTCTTTTAGGAAAACTTACGTTTGCTAATGTCGATTTGCTCACAACCAACTTTGCGGAGCCTCGTATTTCCCTCAACATAAGAGTAATAACCTGCCCATCCGTGGTCATCAGAGATATGTACGGATCCGCACTAGATATGTGAACAATAGGCGAACCCAAGTCCATCGGTACGTGCTGCAGTTGAGTTACTCCTTGCAACAATCTTACTGCGACCGTTGTAACCTGTACTATATATTTATTATTCCCCAAATTTCCGGCGTATACAGTTGGTCCGTGGGTTGCAAATCCTGTATTGTCAATTTCGTTAATCTCATGACCAGTTTGAAGAATCTAGAATAAATCTATGTGTGGGTACACAGTTGCAAGTGACGAAAATGTGCAACATGAGATACACACACTGTTGTTCCCGGAAAAGGACCATGGCAGATTGGCGCCAGGAACCAGATACATATATCTGCGAGCGACTCTACAAGAAGACTCTTCAACGAATGCTCGCCCCGACAACATTTCTTTTCTTTACACTTTATTATCAATAAAAATACCTTTATTTACGGTTGAGAGAGAGTTTCATTTTGTTACACACCGAAAGCAACCCTCATATAAGCCATATGAGGGTTGCTGATTGAATTATCAAGATATTGGCTGAATCAACCAAAATAAAATCTAAACTCGAGGTAAATCAAACACAGGGTATTACAAAAAAGAAGAGTCACTTTAAATTTCGCAGACTTATTTCATCAAAGGAAGAGTAAAAAGAAATAAATTAATAACTTTATAAGGTATTCAGCTGAAATTTTGCAGACTTATGGGTAATTACGAGTAATGGTACCTAAATGAAAAATGGTATAGTCTTATCATTTTTGTTCAAAGAATGTGTAATTAATTGTTTGTAACGCCCTGTATAACGATCGTTTCACTAAATGGAAGGAAATTTATCTTTTAGGTATCCATATATTGGTATTTGTTCTTACCATGGTGCCATCTTCCTGACTCAAAATAAGGAAAGCATGTCGCTCCTCTCCACTTCTCACCGTCCACATATTAGAACAACCAGGAAGAGTAAACGTTGTAACGATTTGTGGTCTGATAGTTTTCTGCAAGACACAGAGCGCACCGTTTTTACTGTGTCCTGCAGTTGTTACTAACTCCAAGTCCAGATCGGTGTTATTATTAAACTCTTCGCTAAGAAAAGCCGGCTCTCCGATGGATATATTCCCGCAAGGTCCAATGTTGATTAAACTGTCACACACTTCAAATACATAGCTGGAAATCTGTATACCGGCTTGTTTTTGGTTACCATACACCTCTAATTCCTCAGGATCTCTTATATCAAGAACGTCACTAGCCATACAGTCGTTTAAGCTATCTAGAACTCTATCTTCGTATTGAGAACCATCCCTGTCGTTTTCATCTATCCTCTTCCTTTTTGCCGTGGGTTCTTCCCCATCATCTAGTGTTATAACTTCGTTCCTACTTTCAGTAAATCTGAGTAATAGCGAATTTCCGAGGCGTGAACCCAAAAACAAGAAATTATTTTCACAAACGCAGATCTGAAAATTTATAACGCGAGATATTACTAGTAAAATTGTATAAATATGAAGCAAGGCTTACGCAAGTTGTAAGAACACTAGCAGCCGCTTTTTCAAAGTGAAAACTTCGTACGTATCTCATACTATCAGCTAATAACGTCAGAACGTATAATTCTCCACCCTTTAAAGATAAAACGAGTGTATCTTCTTCCAAAAATCCCACCTGCACGCAATCCAATGTTATTTTTATATCTTCCTGCGGTTCTAAAAACAGTATTGCAATAATTCGACAACTACATTTTCTTTACGAATGACTTACTCAGTGGAAAATTGGAACAAGCTTCAGCAATACTATTCAAGGATACCCCGTAAGGCGGAATACTTTGATTTAGATATATGAGAGCGTTTACGGACATGATTAGGGTACCGCCTATAGGCTTCTTAATGGGTACTGCCCTCACACAATCAAACGGTAGATTTGAAACACTCCAAATGACAGGATGTACTTTTTGTTGCAAGTTTAAGGAAATGGCAGCCATCGCGCAAGTGTCTGTTCTTACTGCAACTCGACTAAAATATGAGCAATTTTGAATTTTAGTGAAATTAAAGAAAGGAGTGTTTTCTAGATTCTTGGATTGGTTAATGCATTAAATAACTTAATAATTGAAAGACAAATATAAAATTTAAAATATAATAAAGTTTACTAAAGAGGGAGGGTCGGTTTTTGGCTTCCTTCATTTTTGGCCATAAAAAGGATTTTTTTTTATTATTTATATCTAGTAACTAATCGATTCTACACCAAACTGAACCACCCCCCTCCCTCCTAGTCAGGATTAAGGTCAATTAGAGGTCAGATTGAGAAAAAGTGCATTAAACCAAAGGATCTCGGAGTTTAGGTTTTTTGGGTCACTGAGTCTAATCAGATCATTTTAAGATTGTTTCAAGGTCATTTCATGGTCAAATTGAAAATAAGCCCAACAGTCCAACCACCTGTCATACAGGAATTTGGGCTCGCTGGGTTAGAATCCTAGGTTAGTTTGTCTGTATTAAGTCATTTAAAGATCGTTTCAAGGTCATTTTAAGGTTAAATTGAAAAAACAGAGCAATTAAGTCTTAACAGTCTGTTATATAGGTTTTTGAGATAGCTGAGATCGAATCCGAGGTCAGTTTGTCAGCATCAGGTCATTTGAGGGTTATTTCAAGGTCATTTAAAAGTCAAACCAAGAAAAAACCTCCTCGTGATGCACATTGAATAACGTTAAAACCGAAGGTAATAATTATATGATGATTTAGTCCTCCACTACTTGATTTGTGTCGATTAGCTTAATGTGAACTGAAGGTAATGATTGGCCAAGTTTTAGGTCAAGAGATCACTGATGTGGAACCCATGCGAAATCCTACAACCATTGTACAGGTCATTTTTGTGTTAAATAAGTAGTTTTCGAGATAAAAGATGCTCATTTGCTCCTTCAGATGAACTTGCCTAAACCTTGCGTGGCTCTGTTTAAACTCGAATGATTTTTAAAAACCAATTTTTAGTATCAACAATTTTTGCTTCGGTCGAAAACAAAGGGGTCTGAAATTGTCTCTCACTGACCCTACCAGAGGTCCTTTTTCTCAAATCAACCTTGGAATAACCTTGAACCTTTATTACTACATATAAATGGACTTCAGATTCGAACTATAAGAACGGTAATTGATTCCAGGGTTTATTCCATAAATTAACTTTCAAATGACCTTAAAATGGCCTTCAAATGACCTGACACAGACAAACTGACCTCAGATTTGAACTCAACAACTCCAAATATGTGTATAACAGGTGGTTAGACTTAATTGTTTGTTTTTTCTCAACTTGACCTTAAAATTTCCTTGAGACGATTCGGACTCAGCGACCCAAAAAACCTAAACTTCGAGATCTTTTGATTTAATGCACTTTCTCTCAATCTGACTTCTAATTGACCTTGACCCTGACTAGGAAGGAGGGAAGAGGTCCCGTTTGGGGTGAATCGATTATTAGTTATTGGATATAAAAAATAAATTTTTTTCTTTTTTTCTTTGGCCAAAAATAAAGCGGGCCAAAAACCAGCGTAATTGACCTTCCCCCTTACCTCGGCTTTTTCTGGTGGCAGTATTTAAATTTAACCTTTTTGGATTCAATTATTCAAAAAATTGCTCATTAATGTTAATAAATGTAATTAAGTATCTAACACCCTGCATACTTTATTAGCACCCTCAATTTTTTTCTACATATTAATTATATTTCATCAAAAACAGTAATTTTGGAGAATTGACTTACCCCGAAAATGTTTTCAGTGGTTCATACAAAATTAATAAAGTGGGTTCATAATATCCATACAAAAATTGAATATCTATTACGTTATCAATTTTGTCGATAAAATCTTTTAACAAAATCATATACGAGGACAATATTGGGGCTTTACCACCGGCTGCATTAGCAGACATAGGTTTAACGTCAGTGTCATTATCATCAATTGAACTCTCTCTTCTAAATGGCAGGACAACTAATTTGCGACCAAATACCGTCATAACGGCGCATCGGTTTTCAGGATCTGCCCTTACAATAGGAACATGATGGTGATGGGTCCATCCGTCCTAAAAATTAAAAAGTTTAACCATTTAAAAATTACTTGAACTATTGTGCATTACTTTCATGTCTTCTTCTTCGAAATAATGCAAACTAAGAGTTCTCAAATCGTGATATTCTGGGTCATATTCAACAACAGACAACTTTGCATCAGAAAACGCCAGAAGTAAGGCGTCCCTTTGAGAGTTTGCCAAAGATACACTTTGAATAGACATTATATTGCCAAACAACTGGTACTGCGCCATACATTCTAGCTTCGATTTCGGTGGATAGAATTCTAAAATATAATTAATAATCAAGACACAATTAAATATATCTTTGAATACCTTATTTATTTTTTTTATAAGTACCTCAAAATAAAACTAATTTGTTTCTATTAATTTTGAAATACTATAAGTCAAAACTGAGAAATCTTTTAATAACTAATAACAAATATTGAAAATTAGCATATAATTAAGACCATTACGATAAATGCCCAAAATGAGAATAATTTTCCTGAATACATTAATTAATTTTTTGTAAAAAATTAAACTGGAGATTTGTTTTTCAATTATTTCTTTCTAAGAGTTGTCTCGATTTACAAGGTGAATCTACAATTCAACTTCGCTTTCAACTGTAGATGAGACTTCAACAAACCCCATATAAAATAATCACATGTTCTTAGGTCTGGTGAACATGCTGACTAGATTATATGAGTATTGTAATATTTATTTATTATTTTATTATTCATATCACTTCTTGCATAATCTTAGATTTTCGAAATCATTCTATGTATAACATAAAAACTTATGTTGAAGACTCATACTTCAAAAGTGGTCACTCTACATGATTTTTGAGTAACTTTGAAGTATACTACAGGCTAAATGAGGGAATTTTGGAAATATATAAACTGACTTATTTCAAACGCAGGAATATCTGGTCTTACGTGTACATGTATTTCACAGCCACCCTGTATATAACCGAAAAAGTAAATGTACAATTTAATTTTCAAATGACGTGACATTAATACGCTTGTAATATTACCTGAATAGCGTTCTGTTCGTGCCTTAGGATCTACATCAGGAATAAGTCTAAACACTTTAAGAATATTTGCTCCTGCTGTTATTAAACACTTTTCTACTTTATTAAAGAAAAAACATGAAATTGCATGTTCTACCCCCGTAGCCGGGTGGTGCTGTTTACAAATGGAAAACATTTTTTTACAAGCCTACAACCATTAGTTACTAAATTATTCACACAATAATACTATAAATTAAAAAGTTCAGGCGATTATCAGAATTAATGTTTATTACATTACGAGTTTGTAGTCGCTCAAAAATATACACAAAATATGGGAAAACATAACCTCATTCGCCCAACAACAAAACAAATAGTGTTGCCAATCCAACGAAAACAATAAGATAAAATACAACCACCACAAACCAATGATCTTATAATTTTTTCACAAAACACAAAACAAATAATACAGTGACTACTATTGCTACAATATAGTAGATGTCTATATACAAAATATTCAATACGGTAATTGTTTAAATATATAGGGTATTTAAACAGAAAATATAGTACTATATTTTCTATGGTAGTTAAACAATGTCATAGAATAATGCAGGGAAACTAGACCATAGTCTCCATGGGTTAAATGTGTACAGGGTACAGGACGAAGGCATCAAAAGCAAAGAAGAAGAAGAGGAACGCATGGTTTGACTTGCATAAACCACATACTTCTATCTATACTTCCATGGAGAATAGTCTCCATGTATACTTCTATAGAAGTATGTGGCATAAACCTAACCTAACCTAATATTATAGTTTATCTGTCAAGAACGTGTAGTTTTATAAATTTAAAATAAACTATAAAGTAATTTTTAATTAAAATTATGTCTCGTTTAATTGTTAAGAATTTACCAAAAAATGTAAGTGTTTAATATTTTTAATAAATATACAGGATATATAATATGTATTTATCATAAGTTTTAAAAAGTATTATTACATTCCAAAATTGTATTTTTTCCTGTGAGACAACAAATTTTTGCTTAAATGTTCAGGTAACAGAAGAGGCATTGCGAGAATTATTTGGTCAAAAAGGCACTGTCACAGATGTACAACTTAAATACACTCCTGAAGGAAAATTTAGGAGATTTGGATTCATTGGATATCAAAATGAGAGTGAAGCTGAAGAAGCCATTGCGTCATTGAATAACACTTTTCTTAAAACAAGTAAAATCTCTGTGGAGAATTGTACAGTGTTGGGTAAGGTGCCATTTTCATATTTTTCGTAAATATTTATTTACATATATATTTTTTAAGGTGATGAGAAAAAACCTAAAGCTTGGAGTAAGTATGCCCCAGACAGCAAAGCATTTAAAAAAGCACATAAAATAGACAACATCCCTGAGGTAGAGGTTAAAGAAATACCAAACAAGAAACAAGAAAAGAATGAAACTGTGCAGTTATTAGAGAGGGTAAGGTTTTTTATACAAATACTTATAGTGTTAAATATTTGTACTAAAAATAAAAAATTAACATATTTTTATTCGTGATTCACCAAAGGTTTATAAAAAATAAATTAATGTATCAAGTTGTATCTGGAGTAAAATAAACTATAATTTTTAGTACAAGGACGATGCAACATTTGAGGAATTTTTACAAGTACATGCTCCAAAAGAAGTTGAAAAACTTCATAATTTAGGGAACAGTTCAGAAAATGAAGATAGTGCAATAGACTCAGGCGAAGGAAATGAATCTGATCACTCAGAAAAAGAAGCTGATGAGCAAGAAATAAATAAATTTGCTAATGAACAAATTTCTGACTTGGAATATATGAAAAAACTTATGAAAACAACTGGAGATGTTCCAGAAAGGAAACCTCGACAGAAAATGGAAAAAAAAGTTAAAGAGAAAATAAATCTATTTACAGTTAAGGTAAGTAGTAATAACTGGAATCCCATTAGTTACTACAAATGTTTGTTTCAGTTGAAAGATTTGCCATACAATACTAGGAAAAAAGACATTAAAAAGTTTTTTAAACCAATTACTCCTTATAGTATTAGAATACCAAGAAATGTGCATGGGTTCGCTTATGTTGGTTTTAAAACAGAAAAACTGTTTAACAAAGCTCTAATCAAGGATAGAAGTTTTATAAGTGAGTCATTTAATGCTTCCAAATTTTATCTTGATATCTTACATAGTCTGAATAATTTTCGTTTAACTGATCTTTGCAACCATAAGATTTCTTTTAACTGTCTTAATCGAAAACAGAGATGGGTTTAATTAAAATCGTGGCACCAGTATAAAACTGGGAGGCAGGTTTTTTATGATTTTGTGCATCAAAACGCTCGTGGTATCTAATTTTTGCTGTTTAGCTTAATTTTTTTTACAAGCGATTGTCGTTTTAAAAAATTACCTACATATATGCATCTGCTTAAAAAAAATCATTTAATTAATATTAGCTTTGTAAATACTGTTACTTACACAAAATGTAAGAAATATGAATGTAATTAATATGTAGAAGAATAATAATTGGTCGGTACAAAATTATGTCAGACTTCCTATTCTGGTCTAGGTTTGATCCCTGGCGTTGGCACTGACAATGTCGATGGATAATGGGCGTTGTCCGCATTTTTTCAGATGTAGCTCCCTTCTGCACAGCCGTTGGCTTTAGATTTGGGGGTTGTCTCATTTCTGTGGTATGTTTTGTTTTTTTTTATATTAATATCTCTTTTTTATTTTGTGGCATAATAAGATGGCAAGAGAATATCTGTGATAAAATATATCACAAACACTGAGAGCGGTAAAGAGGAAAATGAGAAAAATAATAATCCCTTAAAAAGTAAATGGAAAAACCAAGAAGAAGCTTTAAAGAACGAGGAGAATATTGCTGAATCTGGAAAAATATTTATTAGGAATTTAGCTTACACTACTACCGAGGAAGATATTGAAGGTTTATTTTCAAAATATGGTGAGTAAATTATGTATTTTTATTTGTCGTATCCAGAACACATTTATTTTTTAATTTACTTAGAACAGTGTAACTTTTTTGAACCTCGTATTCTAAAAATTTAGCGTTATTCCAAGCAGTATACAGAGTGACCCAGACTGATGGTTGGCCACCACAAGTAGGGATTTTATCACATGATAAAATAAGTATTTGATTTAATAAAATTCCATTTTGGCTAGTTTACTGGCCTAATAGGATACTGCTAATTTCTAATAATTCTGAGCTTTCCAAAAAATAAGACTCATACCTATTCTTTCATTCGATTTTAATTTTTTTTAATGCAATTTACATTGCAGTTAATTTGTTTTTCACGGCAGTACTAACAAAATCAGTACAAACTTAATCTGTTCCTTTTTAATTTCTTTATACATACAGTCGATGTTTGAAATTAGACGAAAAAAGGAAACCTCAGCAAAATTCCCTCTAAGTTGACTTTTTCTACAGACATTCTTTGAGATGTCCCAAACCCAAATTCGCAAAAAATCACGAAGATCACACATGGCTACTCAAGATGCTAAAATAAAGGTCAGAGTTTTTTGCAAACATCTTGCATTTTATGCATCGGACATCCATAAAGTCATCGTGAAAGTTGTAGAGAATTTAATTATCTAGAAGATTGGCCTCTTGCAGTTTTTCCCAAAACCTCGCCCTTTTTGAGATATTCAAGGTCAAAGTTTCAATTTTATCATTGTCCAATGCATTGAACGTGTGATATTCGCGAAAAACCTTATTTTTTAAGCTTTTACCTTGAATATCTCGAAGAGGACAAGGTTTTGGGAAAAATCGCAAAGGACCAAATGGTCCTTGGTCTCATACCAAAAAACTCTTTCAATAAACGAGAAAATGAGGACTTAAAGAATAAGAATGATGAAATTTTATTGTGAGTCAAATATGCATATCTGTTATAATTTTTTTTATTGAGAACTGTGGAAAATGTGGATTGTATTACGTAGACACCAATAAAAAAAATTATGCGAGGCATATACAGGGTGTCTCAAAATTAATGCAACAAAATTTGGTCACAGATTCTTAAGATAAATTTAGGGAACCCATATTTTTTTATTTTTGTCAAGTGGCCTCCTCTTTCGAGGTTACAGCCTCCTGAAATCTGCCCCTAAGAATAATATTTTTTTAATATCTCAGAACCCTGGTGTATGAGAATCACTAAATTTGGTACACATGGGTTTTATGACATGTGGAATCAGATGGTGCTATGCTTTTAGGTGGGGAACCCCCTTAAGACAATTTTTCGTGGGCCCCCTTGTCTTTGGAGCCAAAAAAATTTGGTCGAAAATTAGAATTTCTTAAAAATTATTTGTCCACCAGAAAGCCATTAAATTTAGAAACTTTTTTGTCACCTGATACTTTTATTCGTAAAACGCAATGTTTTTGAGAAAAATGTCAAAATGTGAACCAATGCTTATTGCGATTTGCCATTTTCCTCAAAAACATTGCATTTTACGAAAAAAATATGAAGAGTCGAAAAAGTTTCTAAATTCAAGCTAACTAATAATTTTTAAGAAATTCTAATTTGCAACTAAATTTTTTTGGTTCCAAAGACAAGGGGGCTCACGAAAAAGTGTCTTAATGAGGATCCCTGCCAAAAAGCGTAGCAATATCAGATTCCACATGTGTACCAAATTTAGTGATTCTTGTACAATAGGGTTTTGAAATATAAAAAAGTCTATTCTTAGGGATAGATTTAAGGGACTGTAACTCCGAAAGAGGGGGCCACTTGACAAAAAGAAAAAATATGGGTCCCCGAAATCTGTCATAAGAATCTGTGACCAAATTTTGTTCCATTAATTTCCGACACCCTGTATAGTAAAATAAAAAAACCGACAGTGGGTTACATTTGAACCCTGCACGGTATGACGACGGTTAAATTATGTTAATTTTGTCAATAATGTTAATGTTATATGTTTTGAAGAATTAATAATATGAAGTCCGAATATACTTTTTTTGAATGTGCCATTTACAAAACATAAGATCGTGACTTTTAATGTGACTTTTCATTAGGACCATTAACAGAAGTTAATTTACCTGTGGATTCGGCGACCAGAAAAATGAAAGGATTTGGTACTATAACATTTTTAATGCCAGAACATGCAGTTAAAGCTTATTCGGAACTAGATGGAACTATTTTGCACGGGAGAATGGTTCATCTTTTACCGGGGAAAAGCAAAGATACAACTGAAGAAAATAATTTAGAAGGTAAATCTAGATACACTTTCATGTTATAGAATCTTGCAATAATATCTTGTGTGTCTCGGTGTGGGTACACATAGCTTTCATGTGTTTGCTAATTCGATTTTTGTAAAGTCTTAGACATATTTGGGAAGTTGATCCTATTTAGCAAAGAGAAATACGGATTTATAACTTAGATATTAATTTTTTTTTAGAATCTTCAAATTTTAAGAAGAAGAAGTCGGCCAAACAAAAAGCAGAAGCCGGTTCTTCCCACAACTGGAATTCGTTGTTCCTAGGACATGACGCTGTTGCCGACGTGATTGCGGATACGTACGGAACCACTAAGGAAGCTGTGATCGGCCCAGAAGGGAAGGGTAGTGCCGCTGTTAGACTGGCTCTAGGAGAAACGCAAATTGTTGCTCAAACTAGGAAATATTTGGAGCAGGAAGGTGTCATTTTAGACGCTTTTAATAATGTAAGTCTACTAATTTTATTTATTTAATATTACCAATCCGTTTGTTAGAAATTTTGTTCCAAGTAATTATAATTTAATTTTTATCACCTTTTTTGGTTTGGGTTTGGATTTTAAAAATCATAAATTGAAGTTTATAAGGACATTTTAAATTGGGAATATTGATTTTTTTTTCTATTTTAAATACAAAATTAAAATACTGTAAATTAGTTTTGAGAAATTTTTTTGTAAATTCAAGACCTTATTGTGAAAAATTGCATATATTTTTATTTTTCAAAGTATTGTCTATCGCTAGCCACTGCTGTTTTCCATCTTTCTAGCAGTATAAGGATTTTGCGTTGAAAGAACAACTCATCTTTTGATGTTATTCACGAATCAAATCAATTTTTCGTATCATAAGATTTCCAAAGGAACAATATCTGGTGAATATGGCGGGTGGGGTAAAACATCCCATTTGAGCATTTCTAGAGTCCCTACGATATTTGTTGAGATAGAATTCTAAGAAGACCCCTGCATCACTTTCTTGGAATTAACCGCATTCCACACCCGAGGCATGTCTTTCTACCTGGGGTGTCGAATGCGATTAATTCCAAAAAAGTGATGCAGGAGTCTTCTTGGAATTCTATCTCAATAAATATCATATGGACTGTAAGTATTTTGTGACTTCATGTGATCGAGCATTGTCATGTTGAAAAATTACTTTATCGTGCCTTTGTTCGAATTGCAGTCATGTTTCCTTCAATGCACAGCTCAAATGTATCAGTTTTATTCGGTAGCGTTTACCAGTGATGGTTTCATTCGGTTGAAGCAGTTTATCGTACATAACATCAAGCTGGTTCCACCAAATATAGAGAACGAGCTTTGAACCATGAATATTTGGCCTTGCTGTAGATGTTGATGTGCTACTAGGCAAACTCCACAATTTTCTATGCTTAGGTTTATCCATTTTTGCAAAAAACCCTTTCTTTTTTGTCCTTCAAGCAATTGTTCACTTGTGAAAAATCGCTGCTCAACATCTCTCGGCTTCAATTTAATTTAGTCAAAAAAATGCTGTTTGTTGTTTCATCGGTTGATTATGAAAAAAAATATTCGGTTTAACCCTTTTCGAGATCCTAGAGTCAGGAACCCCTAATTTAATTTTCAATTTCACAAATTTCTTCCAAGATTTTTTTCTTCATAAAAGCTCCTTTATGGGTCTAGAAATCATCTTCCAAAAAATATTATTGGTCCCATGCTTCATCATTAAAATACAGGGTTGCGACGATTTAAATAAATTTGATTTAAATCGTGATTTAAATCAAGATTTAAATCAGTGGATTTTTTGAATTGAAATCACGATTTAAATCAAGCTGTGTAAATTCAAATAAAAAGTACATTCTTTCCAGAGGACTTTCAGTCGGTCCACAAGCCCTTGCATTTCTACATTACATTTTTTACATGTAGCTCTACTACTACTTTTTTCATTAACTTACTTAATTTTTCAATAAAATATTGCCAAATAGGATCTTTTTTCCTTCCATTTCTATAAGAAATCTAAATTTTTCACGTATTATTATATTTTTGAGAAAACTACACTAACACTGTTAACATGTTAGAAATAAGCGTTTGCTATTTTACTGTCACAACGAGAAACTCAATACCACATTCTTGTTAAGGGTTTTAATTTATAAATTTAAAAAAGCATGTAAACACAAACATATAAAAAATGTTTTATTAATACATAGGTCGGTGCGAAAAGATCTAAAACGATAATACTGGTAAAAAATTTACCATCTAGGACTGAAGGCAAGGAAATTATGGATATTTTTAAGAAGCACGGAGAAATAGGAAGGATAATTTTACCTCCAAGTGGAATAACAGGTTAGTTAAAAAATATATATGTACGGGGTGTTTTCAGAGTAATTGGCCAAAATTAAAATTAGTGAAAGTATGAAGACCTATGAAGGACTGTTTGGAATCATTTAATTTTCTAGATACAAGGTGTTGACATTTGAAAAATAATTATTTTGTCTAAAATATCTGAGGAATCTGAAACCACTATCGAAATAAATGAAATAGATCCTTGAGGTTGGAAACCGATATTAAGAAAGCGTAGGTGCGAAGAAATTTGAAATTTGGACCATATACAGGGTGTTTCAGAAAACATGGGCCAACGTTCGGGGGCAGATTCCTAATCTAAAAACAATATTAGTTTTTCATATCATCATGGGTCCGATCTCGCTTCGTCCCTTAACTACAGAGTGTCAAAGTTTTCAAATAAAATATGTTTTTTCAAAAAATTTAGATTTTCACCTGAGGGAATTAAATGAAATTTGGACAAGTGGAAATCTAGATCTTTGGAAAAAACATATTTTATTTTAAAACTTTGACACCTTGTAGCTAAGGGACGAAGCGAAATGGGACCCATGTTGATATGAAAAAATAATCTTGTTTTTAGGTTATGAATGTGCCCCCGAGCGTTGACCCATGTTTTCTGAAACACCCCGTATAGCCTGTATTACTCTCGGCTACCCGAGAGTAAAGTGTGCAGAGTCTTATGGCAGCTTTCACATGTGACGGAAGGAGCTATCTGGCGAAAGGCCACCAGGTTGTAGCCGGTCGCCACCACTGCCAGCCCGGCTGCCGTATACGGGCTAACCGGCTATCGAAGTGGTAGTAGTTCGTATTTTGTATTGACGCTTTCACACTTGCCGGATTCAGTTGTCCGGTTTCATTGAAAAGAACAGGACGTGTCAATTATTTTTTTAAATATTTCTACGCAACTGTCGAATGTTTGTTCGCTAGAAGTAGATATTGCAATCTTTATATCACTGGTTGAAACCAGACCTGTCCAGTGAGACAAAACTTTAGCCTTTTCATATTTTTTGGATATTTTTCATATTTTTGTTTTTGTTTTTATTGTGACGACATCGGCAATAGCCATGCCACATAATTGCAATGCATCTACGATCCATCTCTTGTCGTGATAAAAATGCAATTGAGATTAATATCGGCCAAACCGGCTTGAAAATTAAATTACCTCTGAAAGAGCCAGCCGGATCCGGATCTAAGTGTGAAACGAGGCTATCTCTATTGTGTGCTAAAATTTCAGTTAGTTTCGTTATTCCATTTTTTAGTTATTAATGAATATGTTGAAAAAATCACGGTTTTCTACCTACAAAATTGATACCTCTCATTTTAACTTGTCGTAATTTTTTGTTAATTGATAAAAAAATTACAAATTTTTACTGACGTTAAGTCGAACTATTGTCTTTGGTACTGTGAAGGTCATTTGTCTCAAAAGCTCTTCTTTTGTTTATTTTTAAGCAAAACGGAAGGAGTGCTATCTCTGTAAATATTGTGTTCTTTAAAAATAGAAAAAAACTGACACAGGTGGTAACTGTATACAACAAGCTGAAAAAATTTGTTAAAATAATATAGTTATAAATATGACATTCTTTAAAACAGTATCGGAATCCCCATGGGAACAACCGGAAACTAATAAATGTACATATATAAAACAATACAGCCTTTGTAAGTGTATTATTTTAACAAATTTTTTCATATTGTTTACAGTTATTTACTACCTGTGCCAGTTTTTTTTTTTCTTTTTTTAAAGAACGCAATATTTACGTGGGTAGCATTCCTTTCTGTTTTGCTTAAAAATAAAAAAAGAAGATCTTTTGAGACAAATGACCTTCACAGTACTAAAGACAATAGTTCGAATTATCGTCAGTAAAAATTTGGAATTTTTTTATCAATTAACAAAAAAATTACGACAAATTAAAGTGGGGTATCAATTTTGTAGGCAGAAAGCGTGTTTTTTTTTAACATATTCATTAATAACTAAAAAAGGGGATAACGAAACTAACTGAAATTTTAGCACATAATAGAGAAATAGTGAGGTTATATATGATCCAAATTTCAAATTTTTACGGCCTTATGTTTTCTTAATATTGGTTTCCAAACTCAGGGGTATATTTCAATTATTTTAATTATAGTAATGACAAAGTAAGTTAAAAAAGTTTTGAAATAAATAGAAAATTTTTAAAATAAAATGGAAGAGAAATTTTTACATAGAAATATCATTGGGAGTTATAAGCAGACGTTGAACTTGTGGTATTCTTAGTAGTTAACTAGGACTCCCAATATTTCCTCCACTGATCAATATACATTAAGCTCAGCCCTTTAAATACATATACATCATTGGCCTAAGTTTCATCATTTACAACAATCATCTTCAGGGACAATTATTAAAAAATGTGAAAATGCATCTGAATATTTTTTCGTAGTACTTTTTGGTTTAAATTCAAATTTTAATTTTGGCAACAAATCTTGAACTGCACAAGTACTGTTTCTTGTTTTTAGCCATCGTAGAATTTCTTGATCCGTCCGAAGCAAGGAAAGCTTTTACCAAATTAGCCTATTCAAAATTTAAAAACATGCCGCTGTATTTGGAGTGGGCGCCAGAAAATAGTTTGGTGGCGGGTAGGCATAAAGAGATCAAAGAAGAAAGCGATAAACCAATTGAAGACGTACAGGAATCGACCGTAGAGCAGGGTGTGGAAAATGAAGAAGATGAAGATGAAGAACCCGAACCTGATACCACGTTATTTGTGAAAAATTTAAATTTTAAAACCACGGATGAGGGACTGAGGAAGGTAAATTATTTTTTATTTTTAAATACGTAAATGTGCTAAATTTTGTTATTTTGCAGACAAATTTTATTTTTACTTGGTCTAACCAAATTACACTTCGAAAAAAAAAATTGTTACCTGGACTTTTATAAGTGGAAATGATAAAAGGGCTTATAATAAACCTAAAAAAATAAATGTGAAAAACAGTTTTTTTTCTTATTTTTTGTTTTTTATTTCTCAGTTCCGCAAAAATAATTTAATTTTGACTAAACTTGGTAAAAGTATATCTTTCTGTGTTTTAAATAACCACAAATTTATTTAGATTAAAAAATCAAGAATTTCCGAGATATTCATTTTTTCCGGTCTAATACACTTTTTTTTTTCAAAGAAAAATTCTACTTAGAAAAACCATCGTACAGAGTTTTGCCGGTGATCATTTTTTTGTTTTGCATTCTTTTTGGTGAAATAAAAAAATGTGTAATCACAGTTCAAAATATGCTCAAAAATGCAAAAAAAAAATCAAAAATGACTTGCAACATTGAATTTTTCAGTAATTGTTCATAATTTGATTAAATTAAAAAAAATTCAAAAACTGATTGCACCATTCAATTCTACGGAAAAAAATACAAAAAAAAACTGTGTCATTGTTATTAAATAAATAAACTTTATATATATTTTGTACAGTACTGCTATAAACATCCGAGTCGAATTACAAATGCGCAAATGATAAATTATGTCTGGATGATTTGAGATTTCAGCAATACAAAGTATTAACTGCAAAGTCTACTGTTGACCTGAAACCCGAAAACTCGAAATTTTGCAAAATCGTTTTATTTTTTTCTGGCTTTATTTGAAAACAAATTTTAAAATAAATTGCATATTTACATTGCCACTTTTTTCGCTCCATCCAATGGCATCAACAATTTTGCAATCCGACGTTTCGCCTTCAAGGGGCCATCATCAGGTTCATTTTTTTAAATACATCGCTGCTATTTTTATGACAGTGATAGCTAAAACAAGCTAAACACTTTTTAAGCGATTACAATAGTAATATCATCTAATTCAGAATTAAAAATGACTAGATTTTGTAGTAGCGACGTATTTAAAAAAATTAACCTGATGATATCTCTATATATCTCTTACTGTTTCCTAGATCCTAATGCTATCCCATCTTTATCTTGGACACACTGTATATCTATGAATTCGTCAAAATTAAAAAAAAATAAGTACACTATGGAAAAAAAAATTATTTATTTTATTTATTTACCATACGACTTATGTTTATAATAATACTGTATAAATATAAAGTTTTGGGTCAAACAATGAGAAAGTTTTTTTATATTTTTTCCGTACAATTGAATGGTGTAATCAGTTTTTTTTAATTTAAACAAATTATCAACAATTACTGAAAAATTTATTGTTGCAAGTCATTTTTTATTTCTTTTGCATTTTTGAGCATGTTTTGAACTGTGATTACAAATTTTTTTATTTCACCAAAAGCTATATGTCAAAACGAAAAAATGATCACCGGCAGAACTCTGTACAATGATTTTTCTAAGTAGAATTTTTCTTTGAAAAATAAGTGTTTCAGACCGGAAAAAATGAATATCTCGGAAACTTCTTGATTTTTTTATTTAAAAAAATTTATGGTTATTTAAGACACTTTATTAAGATATACTTTCACCAAGTTTTGTCAAAATTAAATTATTTTGGCGGAAATGAGAAATAAAAAACGAAAAATAAGAAAAAACTTGCTTTCACATTTTGCTCGGAAATTTTGAGGTTATGTTAAAAAGCGACATCTACAAAAGTTGTAGATTTTTGCATGATCTACAAATTTTATACTGGATACTTTTTTGTTTGACGTCAACTTTTGCCAGAAATCTCAATGATATAATTTTTCACAACTTTTCAACCCCCCAAATCAACCCTCCGCCTCCCCTACTCACGCATTTAATTTTTTGTCGTTTATTATAAGCCTCTTTACCATTTCCAGTTATAAAAGTCCAGGTAACAATTTTCTTTTATTTATATTTTATACACGCAACACCTAGTGCAACAGCTAGGGTCGTTCGTCAGTTTAACCCACCAGGCATAGACCAGTTTTGGACTTATTAGTCCTCATCAGTGTGTCATAGGTGAGACAGCCGATGAAAGAACCAGCTATTTTGCGTCGTATCGTCACGACAAGAAAATACATTGTACGCGGGAGCCTTCGGAGTAGTTGTTTCTCGTAACACTGATAATTAAAACATTGTCTTCGCCCTCTGTGGGTAGCAGTCGTGCAAAAAGTACCTGCAATATATAGCAGGTTGCTTCCTACTGTAGCCATTTGAATGGCACAGTTGGGAGTTAGCACGACAGATGGAGCCATTTGAGCTCCCGCGTACCCATGATCCATCGTCAAAATATGATCGCTGAACCCCAAACTTTTCGCAGTAACGACGCATAAATTACAGCTTTACTGTTCATCGGATATTACTACTTGATTCAATCAGTCTGATCATTTGACAGATTTAAACAAGTGATAATATCCGATGAACGGTAAAACTGGTGATTTATCCGTCATCACTGCGAAGAATTCGGGGCTTAACGATCACTACAATTCCCGTCAGTAGCCACTGCTTAAGAGATACTTATTTTAGCATTTCGAGCCATGTGGTAAGATCAATTACGCAAATGTGGCGACCAAGAAGGATCCCAGCGATCCTAACAACAAACTCTCCATGGGCTACGGGTTCGTGCGGTACATGCATAAAGTCGGTGCCGATAAGGCATTAAAAACGTTGCAGCAGAGCGTTTTAGATGGGAAATCTCTAGAACTGAAACGTTCGGAAAGGACTTTGAAGTAAGGCCTGTTAGTAATAACGTTATCAATTAATTGTACTGTTTTTTTTTTCTTTTATGCAGGAGTGAAGTTAAAAGCACCAGAAAAGCTGTTAAAAGCGTGAAACAAACGGGTACAAAAATATTAGTTAGAAACGTTCCTTTCCAGGCGACGAAGAAAGAGATTCAAGAACTCTTCAGGTAAAAAATATTTTTTTAATTGCCCATGTCATTATTGGTGTTTTTTTTTGTAGTACTTTTGGAGAAATCAAAGCATTGCGGTTGCCGAAGAAAATGGATGCAAGTTCGGGTTCGCATCGTGGTTTCGCCTTTATTGATTTCACTACAGGTTCTGAGGCTAAGGTTAGTTAAAAAAATTTTTTTCAATAATTCATTATTTATTCATTCATTATTAAAAAATTACTTTACTTTAAAAAATTACTTTCAAATTACCTAAACTTTAAACTTTTTAAAATGACTTAAATTTAAACTGAAACAAATAACAGGCATAGGATTTGCTATCATGGGAAAACAAAAAAGTTGTATATTACAGGGGCGTAAGATTAACAGTTTTCAAAATACAGCGAGTATTAATATTGGGGAGTTTCATCACAAAGTGACAATAGCGCTTACCCTAATGCTACACAGCTGATGCACACTATGTGTGCACGCTGCAGACTTGTCCTACGGAATAACAAAAATATAAACAACTATTTTATTAATTATGAATGTCTTAAAACGGAACTGAACTTTTAATCAAATATTTATTTGAAAAATATGTAATTAAAGTACCCAAAGATTCACGTCGTCCAAATAATCAAACGTATTAAAAATAATTTAGGTACTTACCAAAAAGCAAAATTCAGTCATTTTTAAACGCACAAGTACAAAACAAACTACAACATATGCTCAAAATGTCCACCTCTATTTTCGATGCACGCACAACACCTTCGAATCCAATTTTCGCGTACTCGGACACGGTCGAATTCCAGATACCAACTGAATTGCATATTGCTGGTTGCTGGACTGCATAGTGCCTCGTGTTAACCGCCGCGCCGTTGTCACATTGCTCGATAATGAATTTTATCGAATTTTAAATTTATTACAATGCTAATTATTTTTTAGAATTAAGCATAAAGAAGTTCGAAATAGTGATAAACATTGTATTTTATAGTATTCTATGCACGCAGTTATGTCGATATTCTTCATCAAGTTGGAGATTTTGATAATTTTTTTTCTCGGAAATGCTTGAGTTTAGGACCCATGTCATAATAAGTTTTTTTTTGTTTATTTTGTTGTATTCTATCGTCTGTTAAAATTAAGGCAAACAAACTTCTAACACCCTGTAGTTTCCAAATACGTGCATAGAAAGCTTTTTTAATAAAATCAATTACATTATTTGATGTTACTTATTATGTTACGGCCACTGTAACGGCCTAAAACAATCGTGTTTTTGACAATTTTTATTTTTTTTTTTTTAATAGAAGGAAAGGTAATAGAAAAAACTAGAGGTGGGGCCACTGATAAGTTCCCAAAATGGAAACTGTCCGGAAAGGGTAGAATCCTGTTCAGGGAACATTTCCGTATTTTGAATTTCCCGCCAAATTATAACTACATGACGTCACCTTAGGAACTGTTGTATAAGGAGCACTCCATGATGTCCTAGTTGGCCGTGTATTGCATTAATAAAAACAACAGCATCACAGTTAATTGGTTTTTATCCATTCCAAAAAAAAAAAAAATGAAAACCAAAAAAAAAAGAAAGAACAGGGTAGCACAACAAAGAACCACATCATGGAGTGCTCGCCTGAAGATGTATCGAATTTGATGAAACTTGGTGATAAGACGTTTTAAGGGTTGCTGAACGAGAATACATCACGTTTTTTGGAAAAAAAATCGCAAATACCAATTAGCAGTTTCGACATTAAAAAAAACGCGTCCTAATTGGCCGTGTATTGCATTAATAAAAACAGCAGTATTACAGTTAGAGGTTTTTTTTACCCTACATTCTAAAAAAAATTTTTTGAAATGGGCCAAAAATAAAGAAGTTACTGGCTTGTATCATATTTAAGCGTGACACCCTGTATATAGGGGACTTAAAATATTTTTTGTTGTAGGCTGCATTCGAAGCGTTGAGTCAAAGTACACATTTGTACGGTCGACGTTTGGTATTGGAATGGGCGTCAAGCGAGGAAGGTGTACAGGAAATAAGAAAACGAACGGCAGATCATTTCAAGCCGGCAGAAGAAGTAAAGTCCAAAAAAAGTGTTTTTAACATAGAATAAGGAAATTGTTTTTATTAAATTTATTTTAAATCAAAACATACTTTTATTCACGATATTTATCGCCAAACCTTGCTGAAACCACTCCTTAGACAATGGTGGTCCTCTGCGACGTTCTGCCCTTGTCCGAGGAGCGGTTCTGCCTTAGAACCAGTAATAGAAACTGCAATGAACATCAGGGCAAGCTTAGGGGTTCTAATATTAGGTCCACCACCACAGAGCCTAGCCCAAGAACAACAAGGGCAGATCAGATTTCTAGGTAAGGCATTGGAGAAAATTGATACATAGACTTTTACGAGTACTACTCGATCTCTTTATGTAGATTTGAAGCAGATTGCAATTTTAAAACAGAAATATGAAGATACCGGGAATAGTTAAAATACTCAAAATTTAGAATGACAAAATAAAAACTAATAACAATTTATTACATTTGAAGTCACAATGACAACGATATAAACACAAATCTACAAAATACTAATCGAACTGATCCACTACTTCTTCAGTAACGTCTCGTCTTGCATAGACAACTGTCCCAATTTCTTCCCTATTCTCTCGTGAATATCCAAAAACTTTGCAACGCACCTGTCAATACAAACTGCTTCGCCTTTGGCAATTTCGGCGTCATTGTAAACCGGTGGAATACATTTCTTGTGGCATGCAGCCGTTAAACGGTTGTACATATCAGCCATCATTTCGATCTCCAGTTCCTGAATAAGTTGCATATTTTGTGCTTCCTTTTGTGACATTTTAAGTCAGTGCAGAATGAGAACTAAAGCAGGAAATGTAATATCTACAGCTAGGATGAAGAAGAGAACTTCCGATAACTTGGTTCGTATTCTCCAGTATTAGCTTGTCTCATTCGTTCTCTAATTTTCATATTCTCATAACGCCTTTTATCAATACTTTTCTTTGATAAGTAGAATGAATAAATACCTGCCGCCGTTATGACAACCCTACAAAAGAATTGTTAATTATCTAAGGTTATGAGACAGCAGAAACTACAAAATATAAAGAGTATTAAGTATTAAAATTTCTTACCAACCAATTCCTACTTTTGTATGTCTACCTAATGTCATTCTTTACATGCAACATAAAATTGTAACTATGACATTATATTATTTTAATAAGACGAAACTGTGAAACACGCTTTAAGAAAATTTAATTATTAGGAAATCAATTCTGCAATTCAGTTAGATACCGGTACCAACTTTGTATCAAGTTAGTCCCTAAATATGTGACTGTTACTAAAGCCTGCTACACAGGGACATACTTGATTAACCAATCAGAATGAAATTTTCTAAACGCCGTTGTTTCTGATGCAAATAATGGTATTTAAAACAGCATTTTAGATTTTAATGTCTTAAAATTATACTAATGTTACATAACATATACGATATAAACGTAGGTAGGCAACAATAATTTTAGACCACGTCTTCTAGATGGCGAAAACCACTATAATACGTGCAAAATACGTTGGATGACTGTTGTTTACAATAAAATAAAAGAACTATTGTTTTTATTTTCTAAGTATAAACTTCGATACGATCCACAGACTAATAACAAGAGCGATTGTCTGAAAGCTTGCTTTGGTTCTGTCAGCGGACAGTTCCTACTCCCTAGCCTAGAATAATTCAGATTCAGAATATTGGTATTGTTAGTACTTATGTCTTGTTAGTATGTTTTGGCTTAGATGTTGTTATGAATGGATTGGTCAACTGATTTGAACCGTCCTAGAACCTAGGCCTGACTCTGTCGTAACCAAAACATACCTTTTGAGTCCTTGAGTATAATTTTATATAACATTGTTGACATACTGACAATTTTATTTATACAGGGTGTTTCAATTAAAACTTCCCCTGGAAAATATCGGAATTAAAAAAAACCAAAAGAACCTGAGACACATCGATTTACTTTTCAAGGGGGACACTTTGATGGCGTAAGTTTTGGTGTCTTGGAATCTACCCCTTAGGCAGGGGTGTAAAATACCCTTAAACTTTAAATGGCACTCTATGTTGAGTTACACCTCATTTTAAAGCTTTTTCAATTCTGCTCACAACGACATACGACTTTTTAAATTTTGGTTTGGATATAACAATAAAATCATCACTTAAAGAATAAGACAAAATATCAATGAATGAAAGAATGTTATTTTATTAAGTGTTCAAATTGGTTTCCTTTCGCTTCCATACAATAATAAAATCTTTGCTCCACTTCTGAATGAACATTTCGAAGCATTTCGGGCGTTATCTAATACATTTTTTCTACCGGCTAAAAATAATATCTCTAACTACACTGGAATACACTCTCGCCATTCCTAGCGCTAATAATTATTGTACTGCATTTTTTCTTATATATGTGTCATAATCAAAATTTAGAAACATCGCTCTGTGATTTGTGAATTCATGTAAATAATACATACCTAAATTGAAACATAAAACTGTATTAAATAATTATTATCTTTTTTTCTATAATAGGCTCTATCCTATTAGATCACATTTCTTGTACAGTCATCAGCAAGGGCGTCGCTAAGGGGGGGCAGGACGGGCAGTTGTCCCTCTTAGAAATTTAAATTTAATTAAATTGGAAATTTTTAATAGAATATTTTATGTAAACTTTAATTTTGAAAATTAATACACTAATTTATTTTTTTTTAAATAACCATGTCAGTGGAAAATCTCAGAAGTTTGCAATACGTTCGCTCAATTTTACGATTTGCCAAACATAAAAAGTGAAATAGAACTTTGGCAAAAATGATGGCAGGATGAACCCAACAGAATTAACTGTTGTTGATGTCCTCAAAGCGACAGAAAACTTCTTCCCTGAAAAGGGAAATGCTATGAAAATTTTAATTGCTCTACCGTGCACAACATGTACTGTGGAGCGATCGTTTAGCAGAATAATAAAAACCTGGCTGAGAAATACTATGGTACAAAATCATCTCAATGGCCTAGCAATGATGAGTAGGTATACACAGAAAGTTTATTTTTGACAACCATAAAGATTTTATTAACAAAGTGGTTGACAAAATTTCAAAAAACCTGGGAAGATTATTTTTTACTTCATTTTCGTTGAATTTCTTAATTTTTTAGTTATTTAAATTTTTTATGTTTTTCTTGTATTAAAAAGGTTTTATTATCATACTCAAAGTGCCCAAAAACATATTTAATGCAACTAGGTTTAGTTGAAAGCCTCCAAATCCATGCCATCTCGAGTGTACCGAGGAGTGGAAAAAGACAAAAATAAAAAATAAGATCACAGACCATATTTCTAAGAACCTATCTAGGCTTCGATGGAGGATAACAATACATGGGGAACTAGGTAAAAATGCCGGTTTTACCTATATTTGAAGTAAGGCAAAGACATAATGGTGAAAGGCGGTGTGGCATCCAACGTGGAGCTCGAATATCTGATGTACGCCAAGGGAATGTGATGTGAGAAAATCACCTGAATCGTTTCGCCTGTGGAATAATTTGTAATTTGTAACATTATTTATATTAGAGAAGGCTAAATAATATCTTCTCTACTAGTAAATTAGGAATAAAATCGTTGTAATAATCTTTGGACAAAAAAATTCTATGCATAAAATTGATAGTTTTTAGTTATTTTATAGATTTATTTGAGTGAGGAAATTTTATAATAAAAAAATCAGTCACTCAAANGCTGTCCAGGCCTACACGAGATGAGGCAGGATAAAGAGGGATAATCCCCCTCGATCCCAAATCATTGAGGCCAATTTCTAGCCATAGAATAATGGCGGCGGCGGATGAATGTTGTTTACAATAAAAGAACTATTGTTTTTATTTTCTAAGTATAAATGATACGATCCACAGACTAATAACACGAGAGATTGTCTGAAAGCTTGTTTTGGTTCTGTCAGCGGACAGTTCCTACTCCCTAGCCTAGAATAATGCAGATTCAGAATAGTGGTATTGTTAGTAGGGTATGTCTTGTTAGTATGTTTCGGCTTAGATGCTATTATAAATGGAATGGTCAACTGATTTGAACCATCGTAGAACCTAGGCCAGACTCAGTCGGAACCAAAACATACCTTGAGTCTTGAGTATAGTTATATAACATTGTTGACATGCTGACAATTTTATTTATACAGGGTGTTTCAATTAAAACTTCCCCTGGAAAATATCGGCATTAAAAAATCAAAAAAAAAAACCTGAGACATCGATGTCGATTTTCTTCTTCTCAAGGGGGACATGTGATGGCGTAAGTTTTGGTGGCTTGGAAGCTAGCCTTTAGGCAAGGGTGTAAAATACCCTTAAACTTTAAATGGCATCCTATATTGAGGTACACTTCATTTTAAAGCTTTTTCAATTCTGCTCACGGCGACATACGACTTTTTAAATTTTGGTTTGGATATGACAATAAAATTATCACTTAAAGAATAAGACAAAATATCAATGAATGAAAGAATCTTATTTTATTAAGTGTTTAAATCTCGCCATTCCTAGCCTAATAATTATACTCCGTTTTTTCTCACTATCTACCTATATATCATAATCAAAATTTAGAAACATCGCTCTGGACGCTCTGTCATTTGTGGATTCATGTAAATAATCCATATGAAACATAAAACTGTATTAAACAATTATCTTTGTTTCTATAAGAGCGGGTACATTCCTATTAGATGAAATTTCTTGACAGTGATCAGTCAATTCAGGACTACGATGAATTCAATGAATCAAATAAGCTCCTAAATGTTTTCAAATTATTCATAGGCACAAGTTTTCAGAAGATTCCAAATTTTCAGGTACTCACAGGAAACCTCAAGGCAGAGTGCAAAGAAACTTATATTTAAAGTGCCCAAAAACATATTTAATGCAACTAGGCTTTGTTGAAAGCCTCCAAATCCGTGCCATCTCGAGAGTGTACTGAGTGGAAAAAGACAAAAATAAATAACATCACAGACCATATTTCTTAGAACCTATCTTGCTTCCGATGGAGGATAATACATACATACATGGTGAGCTCGGTAAAAAGGCCAGTTCTCCGGGTTCTCCCCATTTTTGAAGCAAGGGAAAGAAAAAATGGTGAAAGACGGTGTGGCATCCAACGTGGGGCTCGAATATCTGTAACGTCAAGGGAATGTGATGTGAGAAAATCACCTGAATCATTTTGCCTGTGGAATAATTGTAATTTGTAACACTGCGGATTAAGAGACGGCTAAATAATATCTTCTCTACTAGGAAATTAGGAATAAAATTGTTAGAACAATCTTTGAACAAAAAAATTATATTAATTTTTTTTGTAAAATGGATAGTTTTTAGTTATTTTAGATTTATTTAATTGCGTAAGGAAATTTCATAATAAAAAAATCATAATTACTCAAAAATAGCTCGCATAGAATGAAAAATGCCTTTTTTCTTGGAAATAATACAAATTATATGAAGTAATTCCATTTTCAAAATACTCAGTGGCGTCGAATTCTGTATTTTTATCGACAGTACCTTCCAATATCTCTGCCATTGATTGTCAGATTCCTATACAAATTCATTGAATTTTTGTTGAGTTTTATCAGTCTAGATCAGAGGCTGAGGGGCTCTGGGCGGCGACTCCCTAGAAATATTCATAGTAAAAAAATTTAATTTAAAATTTAGTTTACAATGTTATCTGGATAATTGAATAGATTAGCTTATGGAACACATTAAAAAGGAAATATTAAATTTGTAACGTGCATATAATTTAACTCGACTAGAAAAATCCGTTTAAAAAACTCTGTAAAGTGTTTACAGCGGTGGTCATGGTTACCGTCGCGCAGAAGTGAAAGACGCAGAGGGGGTAGTGCATATTTACCTACTATGCAGTGCAGACCGTAACCAAATAGTAGCTATACACGATTTTTTTCTTATTAAACGTAATTTGTTCAGATATGGTGTAAAATTTTGTTACTTACGTATTGTTTCTTATGTGTTTTTTTAAAGATAGTAAAAATTTAAATTGATTGTAAAGACAGACTAACAATAATGCTATTGAAACGTCAATAGTGCAAGAAATACCAAACTTTAATGGACAAGTAACTGAAAAGTTTATTTCGAACAAAAGCAGAAGAATAATGTTCAACACATTTCCCCTATATTTCAATAGTATTTAAAATAAAACTGTAAAATTATATTTAACTTTTTTTTTCAATACTTTATACCTACATTTTTCCGCCCTACCTGGTATGAAAGTC